CTGCAGGTTAATCTGGCCCTGATGTCATAACATTAAAAAAGTTGTATTATTTTTTTTTAAACCTCTCCTCTTTCATTAGGAACAATAAAATAAAACAATAAAAAATACACGACAGCAGATGAGACACTATGAAGAGACTTTACAAGTGGTGGATACGTTACACCACTAGTGTGATACAGCAGAAATGGTGCAATGCTGCAGTGTTGATCCAGACATCTGATGCGATGATCTGTAAGAATCAACCTCAGAAAATCAGCAGTATCTGTTGCTCAACCGAAGCAGGACATGTTGTTGTTAGGACTGTTGTTGTTAGGACTTGCATGTCTTTGGTTGGCTTCACCAGCCCTCCCTCCTCATTAGGACAATAGTTAGATGCTACTGATGTTCTAAAGTGCATTCAACATCATCTATTTCTCCCTTTCATCTCATCTCTTTCAGGCCACAAGACAAAATCAAATCTAAACACCCAGATGGACACACACATCACAACATACTGTATGTCCATCAGACTAACAATCTAAAATAAATAAGTAGGAAACATTCAAAAACTGCAAGATCTTTACTACAAATTCACATTATTAGAATATGGAAAAGACTCTTGGTTTCAGTGTTAAATGTACTTGTATACAGCAATATTAAAAGGAAGTAATGGTCACTCGCCGTTGCCATCGAGGGCACCAGACAAGTCAGATCCTGTCAGAAGAAGACGAGGAATACCATCACCAATTAGCATCAGGCTATCATTGGTAGCAACAGCTCGAGCAACAGGAAAACATGAAAGTCATGACTGGTATAAACTGTGTTCAGTACAGTTTCCCTCAAACTGTGTGCCTATAACCATCACTAATAGCTTGTGTTAGCATGACAGACAGTGTTTTTGTTGGTTTCTATTGATGCTCTGAGCAGCTGTGGACACCACGAGTCAGGAGTTTCCCAAAAAGCCTGTTTGCTATTTTTTTTTTTAAGACAAAATCAGGGCCGTATCTCAATGAATGGGGAGAGAGACATAACTACACTTTTACTGGTCTGGATATAAAAGTAAAATCTGATAAAACCGCTGAAAAGGTTTGATGGCTTTGCCCCAAAATAAGGTTGAAAAAGGATTCCCCCCCCGCAAGGTTATACTTCTACTCTTTAAATACTCATCAGATGCAAACCCTACAAGTTGCTCTGATTTGATTGATACCACGTGGTCATAACCATGCAATGATCATGGATAACCTTTCTTTTGATAAAAGTGTAAAAATTACACTTTTGTCCAGTTGTCAGCTTACCTTCTACTGCCAATGTGCCAGAAACCAGAAGCAGAAGGAAAGCGACCCTCAAAACAAACTTCATTTTGACTGTAGCTTCCAACGTTTTCTCAAAGCTAGACCAACCTAAATCTTTTCTCGCAACACCAAATACAAACCAGCGTCAGTACACTAGATGTGGCTATCTATGAACTAGACTTTGCAGGTCCAACTGTCCTCCTACCTTTTAAAGAGCTCACCGGGTGTGGCAGTCTGAGAGGGCTGTTACAAAAGATATATTGCGAAAAAATATTCTTAATGAACCTGACAAAAACAGATTAGTTAAAAACAAACAGTCATTACAGAACAATAAGTGGTGTGAATGACTAATATGTTTTATTCTTGTACTAGTATGCACTGTATTCTTTACTTTATTTTTATTTGCATTGGACGATACATCTACAGATGGATGGCACGTAATGATCCATGCGGTGGGGGTTATATGTTAAACGTTATGTGATCTTATTCTATTTATTGTTGTGATTAGATGTTGTCTTGTCATGTGCCAATAAAGTATTGAATCACTTGTTACAGAACACAAAATGCGCATAAATACACCTGTCTGGTTTATGCACCGATTAATAGCAACTGTGCAATAACTTTTTATGGGTGCATTCACAATAATAATAATAATAATAATAATAATAATAATAATAATAATAATAATAATAATAATAACTTTTTTATATACAACTTTTTTGTTTCAAAAACAAAGTCACACAGTGCTTTACAATAAAAACATATAATAATATCGAGTAAGCTCTTGAAGGGCCCGGACAGTAAAGGCTCCTGGGTTAGCGGATCACAGACCGTTCAACAAAACCAACAGGTAAGGTTTGAAATATTGTGAGTCAGGTCTCTTTCTGTCTACCCCCCTAGGTGTTATGTGTTAATCTTTGTTCTATATTTTTATATTGTCAATTTATATATTATGTACACAATATTCTCTTCCGTTGCAATACGTCTGCACAACACAAACCCAGAATAATATATCTGCAATGTTGTTCTTTCTCTGCAAATAGTTGTATTATTTTTCCTCTATTCTTTTATTATTATATAACTTGCATTTTTTATTCCATATTTATATATTTCTGCATCTATTTATGTCAACTGTATGTTTGTCTACGTGTAGCACCTTATCACCAAAACAAACTCAAATTAAATTCTTCATGTTGAAAGTACATTTTTAGATTGTTTAAGGGTTGGGAACAATGGATTTCTTTACAAATGATTGTCATTGATTCACCTTCTGCTATCCTGCATGGAAACATTTCAAACACATTATTAAAGCTGCAACTAGCGATGAAATGGCTTGGGGCCAGAGGTCAGTCACCACAGCTTTGGATTTTCATGTGTTTTGGACGTTGCATGTGTCGCTTGATCGCACACGCTAATTATATGTTATGTTCTAGATCAAATGGTTGTCACAAAGGGCGCACTTCCTGTTGTCAGTCAGTGGCACAATGACTTTTACTGAGGATTGATGTTGATGTCTTCACGGCGGGAGTTCTGTTGACTCAAGAGTCTGTTTCCCAGATCTCAATAATCTTTCTGTGACAGGTAAATCATGCCAAATCAAGTCATGAAGTGAAAGTGACATGTCTTGTCATCATTGAGTGCAGGCCTACTCTATCGCCAGTAGTCATGTGGTCTACTTGAGGCTTAGTGCATTTCATGCTAACCTGGATATCATGCAATGTTGTAGGGTGAGAGGACCGTTCGTGGAGTGTGACACAGAAAAGGTTCATCTTCTGGAGAGCAGAAGATGTGCTAGTAAATTTCATGTCTGTTCAGTGAAGTTTGAAATGGAAATGTTTGCCTCTTGGTGTCAGGAAAGGTTCGTTCATTCTGGCCAGTAGTTGTTGTGATATATCTTGCTCTGGACCAAATTGTTTGGCAGACTGACCAAATGATAAAACAACAATGTAAAAATGTAGACAGTTTAAATTCATCAACCATGATCGTCTCTATGTTCCTCAAACCCTGTGAGAAATCTGAATGCTGTCTTTCATACAGCCACACGGGACACAAAATAATCTGGAGCATCACAGATCAAACTCCCCTGGACGAAGACAGAATCTGTCACATTTGAACTGGTGGTCATAAAATTACAAGCTTATAAGAAGTACATATATGGTCCCAAATGTCAAATATACCCCGAAAGCAGAAAAATAGTCCCACTCCACAGACCTTTACCATTTCCCCACTTGAATGAAAGTGCATCTGTGAAACAGCACACTATGACAAATGGTGAAATAGTGGATTCTGATTCATCCAGAACAACTGACCCGCTTTCAAACAATAAGACTCTGTTGAAAGCCATATCACATTAGGGAAGGATTGAGTGGGAACGTTCATGCTATTTGAGAGTTTGGTGAGTAAAATGAAAATTAGATCTTGTCTCATCATGAATACATTTTTGGGCAAAGGTCAATATCAGTTTTCAAAGTTTCAATGATATCATCTGCATGGGCTAAGCCTGGCATTTAAGATAAATGTTTTAGTAATAACAAGATGTAAAAAAAAATCATTACAAATTAATTATATTTAACAAAGAACACATTATACTTCCCGTGTCAGCAGAGCATGTCCGTGATGGTCTCTGCAGATTTTTCTGGGAATTCGGGGGATTTTATAACATGAAATAATAATTAAAAACTCACACAAGAGGATTATTTTATAGGCTGATTCCCTGACGACACTGACGTGACCTTCCAATTTGCGGCTTCCGATTCAACAGTAAATGGGAAAGTTAAGGGAAACTCCGGTCCAGATCAAACATCCACAATGCCTAGAGGGTTCAAATGTGATTTAGATTGACGCTAAAGCAATCTGTAAGGTCCCTTTTCCGCTGTTTCGATCACACTTGCCCTAGCTGTGTGTCCTCCTGCTGTGACTTTGCATTAGCCTTTCTGTGACTGACTCGCCTAGAAATATCCAGAATCCTTTAGTTTTGCTGCCATATTGTCCAGTTATATTGCTGCTGTACTGCTGGTGGCTCAGTGGATAAGACACAAACCTCTGGTGTGGGTGACCTGGATTCAAACCACCACATCCAATGTGTCCCTAGCCCATAATTCCTCCAGAGGCATGTGACCTCTGGCACATATAGCAATTGTAAAAAGTGGCAGCTAAATAACTAATTATTGTTGTTGTTGTTGTTATTACCAAGATTGACACAGCAATAAGTGTTTTATCATTCCAAAACAAAAATTATCTTATGAGCCCAACCACATCTGCCTAATTAGGCCTACTTTGCCTACTTACAATATTTAAATGTTTGTAGGGGTCTTTTTTCCTCTGAAAGAAATTAAAACAATTATAAAGAGTGGCCAGTCTGCAACTTGAAAATTCAACAACTCCCCATGTTTCTTTCTCTTTAGGAAATTCTAAATTGTTATTTTTGACTCATGAATTGGGAACTATAAGGGACTTTTATATAGTATTTGTTTCAGAAGTAAAATATGAGATTACATACTATTCATTGTGTAAATGACCCCTCCACGGGGAACCAGCCCTACGCTCAGCTTTAGCCTAAAATATGATAAAAACACATTCATAAAATGCAGTATGTTGTTTTAACAGTTAATCTGCACCATTTCTGGCATTTTGTGACGCAATTTTCCCAGGGGCGGAACCAAGGAAAGGAAAAACCCCATGGCAGGCTCCGAGCCGGACTCATTGACGTGAAGCACCGTTGGACTCGGAAGTTGTCCGGTCGGAAACAGAGGGATGTGGCTGCTGGCGGTGTTGGTGCCTCTTCTCAGGCTGTATTTCTGCGGAATTAAAGTTCTTATCTATCAGACGTTCAACAGATCTTTTTACGCTGCCAGGTCAGGTCTATCTATATTCCCCAAATGTCTGTCACTGTCTGCTAATCTGTAATCTTTAATGTTATATTTTCATTTCAAATACGTGCCGCTTGCATGCCGAACTTCTTTAGAAATTTGACAGTTTACAGAAATATTACTTTATTCGTCGACCTGTGAACATAGTTGATGGAGTCTGAATTAAGACTTTTAATAACGGTGTCTTCTGGGCAGTTCGGCGTAATATTATTTCTGATTAGTCAAGCATGTTTAGTGTGATCAGTAATTTACTCAATACATCAGGTTCATCTTCCAACAGTGACGTTACTTAAGTTATGTAACTTAACGTTAGCTTACATTGTGAACCAAATCTGATAAATGCGAGTTCAGTGAAAAGAAATGCGACCAGAGGTGTCCGTGTGTGTGTGTGTGTGTGGATTTAACTAGCTAAAAGGGATAACGGTAAAGTCTTAACAGGCGTTTATGGTTGGAAACATTGAAGACAACGTTAAATTGGGGATATTCTTAATGGAGTTTGGTGACACCGTTTATGAGTGCACCACCTGTCACTATTTATTTTGCCAGCTAGGGTGACAGTTAAAAGACTGTGTTATAGTGTATCTAATAAAGCAGTTTTTTATTCAAATGAACTGACTTTAATAGTGCCCTTACGTTTATATTAACTAGAACTACATACTGCTAGGCCTACTACATACTATCCACTCCAAGTGACGGGCTCTGGGGTCTGGTGGTTGAATGGCTCAAAAATAGGATCTTCACTCAGGAGAATGGGGTTTCTGTCCTGTGTGAAGCCAAAAGTCAAAATGTACTTTTTAATTTTAGACTCACTTTACATAATTTCAGTTTTCTTTTAAATTGTTTCCAGTTGTGGTTGCGGTTTTAGGTAAACAAATTACTTGGTTGATTTAGGAAAAGATTATTGGGTTTGGGTTAAAATTACAAGTCAGCGTTGACTTTTGGTTTGACATGGGACACGAACAGAATGCTCTGAAGGCAAACTTCACCCATGTGCAGAAACAACCCGTAGAAATCTTGCAAGAGTTTCGCGAAATCTAGGGTTTTACCATCTTGACCATAGACTGTGTAAAAGAAGTGGACGTAGCCACCATGGTGTCACCCATAGGTTTGTGGACTACCATTTTGAAGTGGCTTTTTGGAAGGGACTTGACTGGACATGACCATATCTGGGTGAGAGGGTGGCGATAGCTTGCTTGGTTAGTAAGGTGAATCTGTAATATTAATTGGGATGCAAATTTTGGCTAGCGAAAAAAAAAAAAAAAACAGGCTTAAAACCAAATGTACTTACCAGAAAAATTACAGGCGACTCCTACTGAACTTTTTCAACAGCGCTGCTTATATTTACACATTGTTGTGGATATGAGTACCCTCCTATACTGATGGACAGGTGTCCAAAAGACTGTCGCTCTCCATAGACCCCCCCCCATGTTAAAAAGACCAACTTTACAGCAGAAATAAATATGTTTACAGCCTGGTTTTGGTCCTTATAGCTAATTTCCCCCATAATGAAAACTGTGTGACAATTATATTGAGGCTTAAAGTTATGCATAATCAAGGGTGTATATTATAATTGTATTATATAGGGTGTATGAAGAGCAGATATGCAAACTCAGCGTTCAGTGTGTCAGTGTGTTATTAACACCTTCCACTGTTCAACAAGCACAATGCCATCATTAATGGGAAACACTAGCACTTGCAGTAACCTAAAAACGTTTTTATTTATTTATTGTTAATTGAATAGGGTTGCTTATCTAATGGTAGAGAAACCTGCCTAAAACGTTGGGAATTTAAGCATCAGACTTCACTCTTGACTTTGAAAGAAGTAGTAGTAGTAGTAGTAGTATGTTGGACTTTGGGCAAGGTCCCACTACTTTTTGCTGAGTTTAAAAGCCGTGGAGACAGCTAGTAAGTGGACCTTGAGCTTCAAATGAATCTTCTTGTAATACCTTAAACTATTAAAACATGTGATGGTAGAGTGAGAAATCATTAATGCAAAACACTGTAAGACAAAGAGGCGATTGTGTCTCCAGACACACACTAGTGTAATCTCACAAAAAATGCAAGCTGTTTAACAAGTAGTAAGGAGATTTCCTAAATTCCCACCATGGCAAAAAGATAAAGCCTGACTGGCTTATGAAGCAAAAATTCCAGTTTTGCTGCCTGGGTCTCTATTTATTTTTTTGGTTTTGGACATCAGTGTTTCTGGTTATGGACGACATTTACAGGAGTTTAGGTCTGTTGTAATTCTCCACTGCATTGTAAAACCATGCATGTACAAATAAGTAGAGTAGGTCAAAGTGCTACGTTACACAAGCTCTCTTAGCTTTTGTTGTCTGATAAATAAACTAAATTAACTCATAAAATGTCAAGAAAGGAAATATTCTTAAACCTATTTTCCTATCAAACAGAAACACCGTTCTAATGAAGTTTAAATAGTATGGTTAATAAATAATTACACAACTCAGACAGCATTGACACATACTGTATATTTAAATTAGTATAAGTAATTAGTGTAATTTGTTATATTTGTTAATAATAATAATAGTGTTGTGTGGCTCGTCCACATAACAGACTTCTCTCTTAGATATGAGCTCCTCGTTTTTGCTTGCATGGTCAGAGTCTGCCTGTTTTACCCAGTTCTGAGTAAACTTTACTCCTTCCGTGTTTGTTTATTCTGAATGACATTTCTTTGCTGCCTCCCGTACATGTGAGAGAACTAATGAAGAATCTAATCTATTTATCCATATTTTATTTCTTGCAACGAATAAGAAAGTAAGTTAGGCAGTGACCAGCAGAAGTGATAGTACATGATCTCGGAGAGGAACCTTCCTTCAAGGAGGTGTAATTATTAATTGAAAATGCAGAAGTTGGTATGGGAGATATGAAATATAATGACTGTTTGCATGTGAAGCAGGTTATTGGAGATCAGGCTGCAGCATGGGTAGAAGTAATCTGATTTCTTGTGTGCATGTGTACATTGCTGAAACAGTTTACAATCCTGTTTCAGTGTAGCTTCTCAAATGGCTGTAATGATTTCATCAACATCCTCAAATGTTTATTTCACTATTCTTGTTAGGTACTCAATAAGTGATTGCTTACTGAAGGAACCAATGGAGGGTAAAAGTTCAGGACCTTCATGCTCTGGCCTCAATCTGGTCGCACACCCACGGGCAAAAAGCAAAGTCTGGAAATACTTTGGCTTTGACACAGATGCAGATGGCTGCGTATTGCACTGGAAACGGATATACTGTCGCGTATGTATGAGTCAATTGCGTACTCTGGAAACACATCCAATCTGTCGTACCACCTGGAAAAAAACCACCCTGTAGAGTTCAGTGAGTTTGTGAAGAGCAACACGGATCAGATGCGCGAGGCGTTCGCCACAGCCTTCTCTAGGATAAAGACTGAGCCTTCAGGTCTACATGTTCAGCAACAATCCCAGGACACAAACCTACGGCAGAACTTAGACTTTGAAAACAGACGACACAATGATCTGACAGCTGCTGTCATCAACTTCATCTGCGAGGGGCTGTACCCTATAGCTGTAGTTGAAGAGCCTACATTCAAGACCTTAATGAGTACCATCGATCCCGAGTATTCTCCACCCAGCAAAAGTGATCTAGCAGTTAAAATGCTTCCTCGGATGTATTGCCGTACCCGGGACATGGTCTTTAGTGAGCTTGCGGGGGTTTTGAACTGTGGCATTACTACAGACCTTTGGCAAAGCCAAACCCAGAATAGAACATACATATCACTCTCTATGCATTCGGTTAATTACAACAGTTCAACTGGCTTCTCTGTGGCCAACAAATGCCTTAAAACTTTTGAAGTACAAGAGGACAACACGGCCGAGAACATCACCAGAGCTATGTATGAAGCCTTTGTTGAATGGGGAATAACTCATAAAGTCAGCGGTGCCACGACAAACGGTTCACTGGACATTGTAAAAGCATGCTCGCTCCTGGAACTATCAGTGGAAATGCCGTGCTTTGGACATACGGTCAATCGTGCAATGGATGAAGCCTTCCAGCTGCCGCATGTGGACAGCTTTTTGGGATGCTGCCGCAAACTTGTTGATCATTTCAGAGAACCGGCAATGTATCTGCTGAAGGAAAAACAAAAGCAGCATGGCCTTGCTCAGTGTGCACTTATCACAGACAGGGGTAGGTCTTGGTTGGCCACATTAGCAATGTTACAAAGACTGAAAGAGCAACAGGTTGCTGTAACTGCAGCACTTATAGAGAATTCCAGCAGCCATCATTTCAGCTTTGATGGTCCTGACTGGGCCTTGTTGGAGGGCTTGGTTGAAGTCCTCCAGTCTTTTAAAGTTGTGGCAAACATGATAACTTCTTGCAGGTACCCAACCATTAGCATGGTTAGGCCTGTGCTTCATATGCTGTTGAACACCACCCTCAAGGTCAAGGAAGGGGACCCCAAAGAGATCAGCATGACCAAAGAGGTCATCTCAAAGGTCCTTTCAAAAACCTATTCACAGAATTCACCATTATTGCAAGAAATTTCAACATTCCTCAACATTGCTACCTTCCTGGATCCTCGGTACAAGAAGTTGCCTTTTTTGTCCACTCAGGAATGCTCCAAAGTTGAGAATAACATCATTGAGGAGGCAAAAGCAATCCTTGAGAAGCAGATTGCGGAGCGACCATGCCTAGATGATTTCTCCTTGGTATCTGACGAGCCACCTAGCAAAAAGCAGACCCCTCTAAGAGAATCTTCGTCCAGCAGCGTAACACAGAACAACCCTTTGGCTGCCATATTTTGCCAGTCTGATGCAGACCAGAGCCAGGAGGAGTTGCATGCACAAGTGGTAGAGGAGCTCAGCAACTACAAATCACAAAGGGTCTTGGGTCTTGATGAAGACCCTTTACTGTGGTGGTCAAGTCATGCGCCCTTGTTCCCCACCCTACCCAAGGTGCTCCAGAAGTACTGGTGTATTCCTGCAACGAGTGTACCTTGTCACAGGCTGTTCAGCTCCTCTGGGACTGTTCTGTGTGGGAAAAGGAACCGTATAGCTCCAGCATTAGTTGATCAACAGGTCTTCTTGTATGAGAACTCGCGAAACTACTATGAGCCTGAGCCTTGTGAGGATGACTTGGACAATGTTCATGAAGGAAACTAGTCTGGGTCACTCACTTGAGGACAGTGTGCTAAACATTGCAAAAAGTCAAATAACTGTGATGACGTTATTCCTTGTATACTGTTGGCCTACATGGCAGACCTGGTGAAGCATTAAAACCAAGGTGTATCAGTCAGTAGTAGGCTTGAGCAGTATCTATGTTTTGATACCTTTCTGACAGTTATTACGCTAGTATGCGCTATTTAGGTAAAACAAACAAAAAAGCAACTGGTGATAGAAGTCACTATTGCATCCTAGAGACCCTAAGTGATGCTACTCGGCCATTAAAATCTGTGCATTGCAACTCCACTCAGAGAATGAGAAACACGGCCTGTGTGACACGGAGATGACATGAGAGACAGACTCTAAACTCTAATCCAAACTGAGAACACAGAAAATAAATGAGCCATTATGATCGATCCACCAGAAAGAGGAGTGTCTGTTTTTTATGGTATTTAAAATCATACCTTTGGGATATCTAGTTTCCGTGTTATTGTAATACTTTGATACTGCCCAAGCTTAGACAGTAGTATGAAAATGTAATGGACTTGTTATGATAACCTTCCTTTGAGTAATCTGTACGAAGAGTTTGACCTATATTGTCTCGGACAGAGCTTAAGTCAGGCAGCATAAGCAAGAGAAATGGCTATCCTGCATCCGTCCAAGTTGGAAACACCTAGCAACAATCTCCAAAGCCCACACTTCCTCTTGTTTAATTTGTAAATGGAAATGTAAAATCCAAAACCAGCTGCTTAAGAAATCAAATCATATAATCTTTATAGTCCCATCACAATCAACTCAGTACAACTTACAGTGAAATTCATTCTCTGCAGTTAACCCATTTTAAGTGTGAGGCGCAGTGTTAGGGGACCATTACATACGTGTTTTTTCATTTTGGGGGAACTGGAGAATTTGAAGCAAACATGCAGGCAGCGTGGCTCCAGGTCCAATCTGAATATCTCAACAAATACGAATTACTTTAGCGATGCTCTAACTTTCCGTGTAGCGCCATCATCGGGTCAAAGGTTGTATTTATCCAACACTTTGGTTCCTAATGACATTCCCATCAGAATCGGCTGTACTTTGTGTTTGAAATATCATGCTAACACACTAAACTAGGATAAAGAACATGGTGAAAATTGTGAAAACTGAGCATTTCATTGTGAGCATGTTAGCATGTAGCTCAAAACAGCACCATGCAAAAGTACAGCCTCACCGAGGGACCGTGGCTTTAGACGCAGGGGTGATGTTGGACTTCTTTCTACTTTGTGCGGAGCCAGGCTTGCCATTTTCCCCTGCTTGCAGTCTTTATGCTAAGCTAAGCTAACAACATCCTGACTCCAGCTCTATACCTAACGCACTAAACGTAAATTGAAGTAAATCTTCTGGAACGAGTGTATTAAAGCCTTTAAGTCTAATAAACATATATATTTTTTAAAATAGCTATTGCACAAATTAGCTAAAATCATTAAATTGCTACAGTTGACGTTTTTCCTTCCTCACTGTAGTTTTTTTTCTGTCAAAAGCTCTACAGAAAATGTAGTTTGTAGTTTGCACATCCACCTGTAATCAAAACTAAAAGAGTTCTGGTGATTACATAATAACACTGTGTGTTGTCTCTCATTATCTGTGCCTCCTGCAAACATCTGCTGTATGTTCTACGCTCTGTTTATATATTTTTGGCCTTTTCTGTTGCACTTTTTTGAGGTTCTGTAATTCAGGTGTTTAAGTTTTGTTTGGGATGAACTTTGTAAATATATTATGTATATGGACATTGCAGCATTAACAATGAATGAGTTTTAAAATTGTCTTGCTCCGCAGAACATAAAACACATATTATTATGATGTAAAATAACTATGACAGTAAAGCTTTTGTTTTCAACATTGCCTGACTGGTTGATGTCGTGTCTTTCACAAGGCGAACAGATAACACTTTATTAATTTATTCTTCTCAGTAGTTCACATAGCTTACCCTTCTGTTTTAGTCTTAAGAGTCTTTCTTCCCTGCAAGTTCAGGAACTGGATCAATAACAATCAATGACCTGGCTGTGATGTAACTACATTTAACTGCGCAGGGGAAAAAAAGTCATACTGATTCCCAAAAAATAATGAATTTGCATAATGTTCTCATGTGGTCCCCTTTCTCCTCCCACACAGTCTTACCCAAGCAAAATGGAAGGGTTGCCATTGTGACTGGGGGTACCAGAGGAATGGGTTTTGAGACAGCGAGACACCTGGCAAGCCTGGGCATGCATGTTATCATAGGTAGGCAACTGTCCAACCATATCACAGGTTATAAGTCTGCAGTTCAGCTGTAATTTGCAGTCTCTCCCCCCTATCTTAATTTTATTACTGTAAATAAATGATATAATGTTAAAAAAAGACAAGTTGTGCGCCATAATTGTGTCAAATTCAGTTTTTCAAAAGCCACGTAACAACATAGTGTTACTTTCTTGCACAAAAAAATATGGAGTACAACATTTTTAACAATTTGTGCTTATTTTAGCTACTGCTTGAGCATTGCATTGGCTATACTTTTACATTTGTGGTTTATACCCTAAGATATCATAGATTCCAATGTTTTGTATTTACAGTGTATCAAAGAGCTTGTATAATTCATGTTGAAGTTGGTACACACTGTGTGGAAATTTAAACAGACCTACCACCGTGTTATCGCTCTCAAGTCGTCACATATGGGCGCATAATCAAGACCCTTTGGCGTCGGTTTGTGACGCACTGGGAAACCCCTAGCGTCATAGTTCAACGCAGTGGGGAAAGCCGTGTAGCGCTGTGTAGTTTTCAGTGTTAAAGGAAGGTTTAGGATATTTATCAGAAAAGTCCATGTAAGGAGGTGGAGGGGTGGGCTAGAAACCGGATTTTACACAGGAGACCAGTGTTCGTTTCCTGTGTGAAACAAAAAGTCAACATTTAATGGTTTTTTAGTTGCGTTACTTGAGTCAAGTAATATTGTTATTTTAACATAACCAAGTACTTCTGGTGCCTAAACCTAACCAAATTGCTACGTTTCACAACATTAACCACTAGTTTTATTTTGAAAGTCTAACCGGACGTTGCATATTTGTTGTTTTTAACTTGACTGTTCAAAAATGACACACAAAGGGGTAACCAGGTCGATAAAAGTGACGCCAAGGGATCTTGAACAAGCGTCCATGTGTGACGAGTATTGGAGGTCTGCTGCCTTGCACCTTGCCCCACGTCAGACTAAATTCCATTGAGCTGACTGACTGAAGTAATGGTCTTACATTTAAACCAACAGGAACAATCCCCAATAGGCAGGTGCTTTGTGTTTACATGCTCTGTCATTTAGTTGCATGCAGTGTTTTGTTTAGTAGTCAAAATGATAAAAAAAATAAACCTTAGATTGATTATGTTTTATGATGTAAGAATTTCCAGGATAGATGAATAATTAGTATACTGCTATAAACAGATGACATGACATTCTTTAGCTAGTCTTACTGAGTCGGTGTAGACAGTTGGATTTAGTTGAAGTGGATATCTACTGGACATCTGCCCACCAAGCCTCTCTGATCTCCATCATCTCCAGCTGGGAACGAGAAAGAAGAGGGCGCAGCAGCCGTCAGGAGGATTCATGAAGAAGGCAGCGAGGGGAAAGGTAATCATCTACCTGTCTCCATCTCTCTCTGTTGCTTTTATCAATTTGCTAGCCAAAACAAAAGCTTTTAGAAAATAGTATAGTGACACAAAAGTGATGCTCAAAGTGGAACCTTCAAATCAAAGCTGGTCCTGTAAGATTTCATTGGATAGAGACAAAAATGCAGATTTAAAATGATGTGGATATAAGTCATTTGTAATCTCCATTATTAAGTTTTAATTGTGTTTCAAAATGTGGCACACAATCTTGCTGTTATCTCTTTAAAAGCTTTTCAAACCCCGTTTTAATATTAACTTAATGCTTTTATATTTTACAAGGACTGAAGTCCTTTTGCTGCGCACCCCCCTCATAGGATAGCCAACACCTTATCTGAAATTATTCATGTCAATAAACAGTATGGTGGGTTGTAAATGGTAGAGCCAGATATTTGCCAGCTTTTCAGAAACTGTTAAATAAAGAGGTCCATTTGTGTGCATGCACTGCCGCCACAGCAGGAGGCTCTCGGAGCTGGAAGATGACAGATCTGTGGAAGCCAACTGCAAAATGTCGCTCGGCCTCTGTATACACCGATCAGCCATAACATTATGACCACCTGCTTGTCGGTCTCCGCCGAAACAGCCCTCACTCGTCGAGGCATAGACCGCTGTGAGTGTGCGCTGTGTGTTCTGACAAGTTTGGTGCATCGGACTACACATGACAGCTTTCGCTTCCCTCATGCCTTGGCCGTCCACGACCCTGTCGCCAGCTCATCTTTTTTCTTCCTTGGACCAGTTTTGATAAAAAATATTGTAAATATTTAATGGTTTAATTTCTGCTTTATGGGTTGTGGACAAAACAAGACATTTGAGGACATAATCTTGGGCTTTGGGCTCATCATCATATATTTTATAATTTTCTGACTTTATACAAGGTACATTTATTTTACACATACAACAGGGTTGTAAGATGAGATGCAGTTTGTAGTTATAGAAACTAATAATCGACAACGAAAATAATCATAAGTTGCAGCCATAGCTTTAAATGGGAATCCTGGAGACGTCCATCTGTAATTAACCTGATTGAAGTTGAATAGAGGCAAGTGTCCTAAAATTTGTAAAATCTTATCTTAAACCTCCTGAGTGCTGGATAAATAGTCCAATCTAACGATGATTTCTACCCAAAGAGCTCTTTGTTTCAGCCTGACGATGTGTGAGAAACAGCACTAATTAGACCAGGGATTAACTGAATTCCAAGTAGGCTTCTCCTTTATATGGACATTCTTTGGCACATAACCCTCTCTCATGAGGCATTTCAATTAGTGTAATGCAGAATATGCTGCAGTGGAGGTGTTGAATTGATTTAATTAGGTGTTTGAGCAACTCCTCATATATGGACGCTTGGCCAACACCCCTTGGGATTGCTTGTTAACTCCCTGGGGTACCCCTTTTACATAAACTTTCAGACGTGTACGGCTGCGTGGTCAAGTTAGCAAGACTAAATATGCATATGCAATACGTCTAGTTAAACATTCAAAATGAAACTAATGCTTAATGTTGTGAAAGGTAGCAATTTGGTTAGGTTTAGGCACCAAAGTCCTTGGTTAGGATTAGTAAAACCTCATGGTTTGGTTTAAAAAAAAAAAAAAATACATTACTCGGACTTTTCTGTTATTTACTATGCACCTGCTTTTAGCGTTCATAATAAATGACGCTACAGGGCTCCCCCCCGTGCGTTGAGCTACGACGCTAAGGGGCTTCCCAGGGCGTTACAAACTGACACCAAGTTGCTAAAAAAATAAGACTTTAGGGAGAAAACTGGGCATAACCCCAGAAGCCACACAGTGCAGACTCACCTCTGTAACTGTCTGAACTAATATTGTTTTTTAAGTCCACTTTTACCCTTAAATTGTCCTTGGGTAACTGCAGATTTGGATAATTTGAAGACTTCACACCAAACATCATCATTTTTACCGGTGGTGGAAGAAGAATTTAGGTCCTTTACTTAAGTAAAAGTACCTGTACAACAATGGGGGGAAAAAAATCCAGTAAAAGTACAAGTCCTGCATTCAAAATTAGTAGTAGGACTATTGATAGTATTGTAAGGGAGGGTTACTGAATACCCAAAATAAAGATCGGTCTTAATCCTAACCTGTCATTTAAAAATGATCAAACAAAAATCATACACCAGGTAAAGGACACCAAGCACCGATTCCGTTTCCCGAAATAAAGCTGACGGCCTTTAAACCAAATAATAATCAACCCGTGTGATTCAAATTCACAGAATTAACAAATCAAATTAACAGAACCCACGTTCAAAATTTAGACTTCTGAGAATAAAAACACTAAAAAGTTTTAGAACATTTTTCTACTTCTTCAAGTCCAGTGAAAAACCTTAAATGGTACAAAAGTAAGCAGCAAACTGACAAAGATAAAAACAATGTCACTAAAACTGAGACATTTTCAGATATAAAATTAACAATTAAATTAAGGAGTTTTGTTTGTACAAACAAAGCTTCTGAGGGTGAATTAACACGCTGTAGAAATTTGTTTCTTTCAACTTCCACTGCTGCAGAATTATTTGAAGTTCACTCATAACTTGATCTGTGAAAATTGGACATCTCTGAAATTTACACAATTTCTCTGTTTTTCTGACCTAAACTTTGTCTTTACCTTCTTTGGTTATTCTGGAGCAGTGAAAGGTTAAAGGTTCAGTCCAAAATAAAAATGTTTGCATGTAAGAGAGAAGTCGGTTTCTTCTGGGTCGTCGTGCTGCTAAATTCCCTTTTGCTCTCTAATGCTGCGCCTTCATGTATCAGAGTCTTTATGTGTCCTGTGATGATTACCAAAATGTTTCAGTGATACCTCATTTATCCCTTAAATTTATTGATCGATTGTGAGAAATGCCGCTACTTCTTATTTCACTTCAAGTAGGAATTAAATTTACAGTGTTTTATATGTTATTTTAAATGGCATTTTATGTATTGTAAATATTAAATTTAAACACATGTTAGGCTTAAAATAATTTATTTCCATCCCTGCCTGGCTACCACACACAAGTTAAAAAAGTACAGCCACCACTTTTAAAGTTTTATTTGTGTGTATGTGTGTATTTATAGACATACACATATGTACATATATGTGTATATGTACACTGAACAAAATTATAACACTTTTGTTTTTGCCCCATTCGTCATGAGCTGAGACTTTCTAAGTACAAAAAATTTATTTAATCTATTTCTATTTCTCTCAAATATTGTTCACAAATCTGTCAAAATGTGTGTTAGTGAGCACTTCTCCTTTGCCGAGATAATCCATCCACCTCAGGTGTGGCATGTCAAGATGCTGATCCGACATCATGGGTATTGCACGGGTGTGCCTTAAGTTGACCACAATAAAAGTCTCACCAGCTAGATCTGCTGCTCCAAAATTTCCAAAAGATCAATGAATGCAGCTTTAAATTCAGAGGACGACATGTTTTCACACTGTGTGACGCTGTCACGTAAATAGTATTACTTATATATTGTATTCTTAGTTTGTGTGTTCCAGCACTTGATTGAAGTCACCCACTGCATGTGCAGGGCTTTTCTTTTCAAGATGGACGAGGTCAAAGGTTGCTTTTGTTTTGTTTTATACTCCCTTTCTTGAAGTTCAACAGGCATCTGTAGAACATCTTGTCTTAGTCTAGGAACAAGACGTTAGTTCATTCCAGCTATCTTTAAAAACCTGCAGTCATAACTGCTTGTTTAAATATTTTAAACCAGTAGTTCTTAACCTTTTTCACATCAAGGACCCCTAAACTGACAAAACTTAGACCCACATGTGATGGTAGTTTTGCTTTTAGATGTTTTATTACATAAAGTGTATGAAACCAATGGCCTTATAGTCACACATTCTATCATTGTGTCCCTGTATCGAATTATAGTAAAAGAAATTATTTCCCTTTTTGCTGGGGAACCCCCTGGAAACCCCTTTAGGACTGTTTTAAACAGTCTTAACTGGTCAGACTAACTTATCAAATCACAGTTATCTTTATCTCTGTCACATCTCTCTGGAATTTGTGCTAACATGTTTTTATTTTGTTTTCACAGCTGAGTTCATCTTCCTGGACCTGACCTCACTGAAATCAGTGAAACGGTTTGTTCAGACGTTCAGAGACAGAGGTCTCCCCCTCCATGTTCTGTTTAATAATGGTAGGCCACTTTGATTGTCTCCGTAAATCCATAAAAAAGTCATATAAGCTTATTATTTTTTTAAAAGTCGAGGTCTTTCTCAAACTATTTTTACCATATGTTAAACGATCTCATGTAGCTGGAACCATGCTGGTTCCTGAAGCACAGACGGTGGATGGCTTTGAGTTCCACTTTGGGCTCAACTACCTCGGCCACTTCCTGCTGACCAACCTGCTGCTGGACGTCCTGAAGAGGTCAGGAAGACAGGGCCGCTGCTCCCGAATCGTCAACATGTCCTCTGCTACGCACTACGCAGGAGTCGTGAACATGGATGACTTAAACAGGAGGTGAGAGAAAAGAAGGAAATCGTAAAATGATTGTTGTTTTTTAGATCACTAGGCGGTTTTATAAACACTTAAAAAGCACGTTATTTTAACTGTGCAAACACAACGACAAGTGCATCTTGGGTGTTTCCACCTGCTATTTTGAATCATGCGTGTGCAGCAGTGCTAAAGGCCTGGGTGATATAGATCAGAGGTGACGTGGTGATTAATAATAAACACACTCTCAGCCTGTCACACCACCGTTCTTGTTGCTCTGAAACAGCTGAGCCAATCACAGTGACGCACAACGAGCTACCTCTGGAAAATCGTGTTGCTGTCAGGATGCTGCAGAGCGGCACGATGTGAACACGCAGCACCAAACACCTGCAGGACGACAGACGACAGACGACAGGAGCAAGTAATTAAAAAGTTTGGTGTAGCGGTAATATCAATCTGACACTATACTGCTCTACTGTATTTCACATTGTAAATACTTGCATTAGATGTTAAAGTGAGACACAGCAGCACATAAACAGGCAGAATATAAAGTTGTTACGGACCAGTCTGATGTGTGCAGAAGTCTGTTTGGTTTTTCTGCATCAGCCTACTGTCCTGTGCTCATTGTGTAATAAAGGTAAACATCCAATTTTGACCAGTCAATCAGGGATGGCAGTGTCTGCCGGTGAAATATCTAAATATTACCATGAATTTCATGTTCCCTGTGACGGACCACCGTCACTACGGTTGAGTATGCGCTGTGACTGCCATACCAACAAGCCTGGCTCTTGCGGTCAAGTTGCTTGTTTGGTACACTGTAGACCCGGGTTCAAATCCGGGTGGGGTAACTGCTCTTGCCTTTCTGTCACATTCCCCTCAGGATGATCCTCTGACTTCTCATCATCACCGTCACCAGTATAACATTCAGATTTGTTTAATACTTTGGTTTGTCACCCCCCTCTCCAGGATCTGCTACAGCTCCCATGGTGCCTACTCCCAAAGCAAACTGGCTCTGGTCCTCTTCACCTACTACCTGCAGGAGCAGCTGACTGCCGGCGGCTTCCCGGTGACCGTCAACGCCGTGGACCCCGGCATGGTGGACACGGCGCTGTACGACAACCTGTGGAGCCTCGCACAGGCCCTGAAGAAACCAGTTGCCAAGATACTGTTCAGGGTACATTTTCACCAAAGCTTGAGTTAACACAGGCAAAATCTCTGCACAGCCTGGGACAGCAGAGTAAACAGTGCGTTATTTTTATGGAAAGAAAATATCAGTGCCATCAACTCTATTTCACTTTAATGATTTCCTTTCCCGTCTGTTTAATTCTGGCATAAATTACATTGGCTCAGACATCAGAACCACTTGTGAGTACAGATTTGTTCTTACATGGAACGCACTAGTGATTTGAAAGAACTTGAAGAGGCATTGCGCAATGTGAACATTTAATTTGGAATTTTATCTGTGACGCAAAACAAAATTCAGGAGCAGTCCAGACCTGTCGTATGACTCATGCAGATAGTCTGCATAGCTCCATAAGACAAAACATCTGTTTGATATTATGATGATAATGCTTTGGTCTGCATGATTTTGGAGTTAAAACAAAAAAATACTTTAAATAAACTTTTAATAAAACTGAATGCTAAATGAATATTCACACCATCAACCGGGTGTGTGTGAATATTCTAGGTGTGTTGTAATGTTTTTTCTCTTTTTGGGTTCTCTAAAACAATTACAGACGCCGCTAAATTTGTAGTCTTTCTGTCTGTTGATGTCCAACAGCAGGACTATGAGGTTCTTTTTACTCTTTGGTAACATGTTTGTGAATGAAACACTCCATTCTTTTAACACAACCTGCTGACAGCCTTCTCTTCATGCATGTCCTTTTCAGAGTCCAGCAGAGGGAGCATCCACAGCCATCTACGCCGCAGCTGCCTCTGAGATGGAAGGTTTCGGAGGCTCTTACCTGTACAACGGCCAGAAAAGGCAGTCCTCCGACATTTCCTACGACTCTGAGCTACAGGCTAAGCTGTGGAAGAAGAGCTGTGAGTTAGTAGGCCTTCAGGAGGACTGACGGACCCCACTGGGACCCTCGCACAAGGAGCGCCATCTGGAGCTCAATAATCATATCGAACCACTGCCTGACTTTATATTGTTCCAACATGTACATTAAGAATTAATATCTCTGTGCTAACCGCTAATGCTGTAGTCCTGTAAACGTAACCAAACTAAAATGACTAAACTTGCCTTTTAGTAATGCAGTAATGGCCTGCAGGTACATAAATTAAGAAATAATAATAATCAAATTAATATAACTGATGAAACATACTTTTTATTAAATTGCACAGCCATGTTTTTGTTAGCCCGGTTCCATACCTTTCTATTACTGCGATGGTTAGAGAAATAATCCACCGACAATGGAAAATAGCCACAAAAATGGCGACAGTTGGGGATGAGCTGGACACAGGTGCGCTTCTTACACAGTCGACTCACAGAAATAACAACTCGTAAATCAACATATTTATGTTAACAACTTGAAAAAGGTTAACAGTGAAAGTAAATTAAGTTTCTGTGTGTCGACTAGGCGGGACAGATGTGTCGCTCACCGTTCACTGGTTTGGGAAAAACAAAATAAACCCAAACAGAAATGACCTAATATGACTGAAAAATGAGGTGAAATGAAGTAACAGTTCCGTCTGATTATCCGATTGCTCTCTAATTACTAAGATGTCCAAGATATACAGGAGAAGATTCAAAATCGTGTCAGTATTATGTAAAAGGCTGCGCATTGTGTCTGATTAGACCTCTGTCCAGGGTAAAGCTAATTAATGCTGTGCTGGTAATTAAAGCTTACGCCCTTTAGGACCTTATTTCAGCAAAAATATGTACGGTAATCAACGGTAAGAGACAACTTTATCCCATTTAAATTGTGCCCTGAATTACCCTGAATATTATGATGTTTGTCAATTTATAAGATAAAAGCTGTAGTTGGTTGTAAGTAAGTAAAGTAACATTTAGTTTTGTGAAAACTGCTTGGTTGCTACTAGCTAGGTAACTTAGCTGTGTTCCACGCACAGTTTAATCTGATGTATTTAATCCAACGACTCCTGATCCTCTTATCACATGTACACATGGAGGTTATTTTACCTTAGCTTCGGTAATATTAGCTTTAGTTAATAGGGGCGTTTTAAGATGACCGCAGCTGACTTTCGCTGACTTGATAGTCAGACGTGAGTGCAGGGGTTAAGCAGTGTTCAGTCAGACACATTATACTTCCCATAGAGCGCATGAGCTTACTGTGAGCTTAAAACAGTTAGAACAATGACTGATCCTGCTGCAATTGCCTTTGCAAATGCCGCTAGATCAGGCAAAATGGTGGTTCCAACTGGGTTCAGCCGGAGAATAGCAACTGCGTCGGCCTGACTCTTGCTCCTGTGAGGTTTAATTTCATGTGACATGGTGACGTTTTGCAGCGACATTTCTAACCAGCATGCCAAAGTTAAGTCCAGCATGCATCACGTTAAGTCAACGCTGCAAAGTTTTACGACAAACTGCAACTTTCTTGACTTGCAAAATTATCTTTTAAATTGACATTTCAGGGCACAATTCAAATAAACATTAGTTGTCTCTCTCCATTGACCACCGTATATACTTTTTCTGAAATAAGGTCCACTGGAAGGGGAGTGACTAGTGCTCCAACTCTATCCGATACGCTATGCTCTCCATTAGCTATACGATTAGCTCTGTTAGCTTAGTCACCAGAATGGTATAGCTAATAAACTGTATAATATTTAACGTCCAGTACTTTTGTGGCATTAGCTACAAGTTTTACACCGTGTCTGTCAGTGGAAAGTACCATCAGCATACCACTCACTGCGTAAGTGCCGTTTCCCTCTTGCTTTGCTACTAGTTCTTATTTTCTGATATTCAGAGGCACTAACACTCACCACAGTGGATGACGTCGGTGTCGCATCACTTAGCAGATGAGACTGATGGGACAGATTCTGTTTCTACAACTGACTCCTGTTTTTCTTTGTACAGAGTTCTCCAAATGCACTTGTTGTGTTAATTGTCACTAAACCAGACTTTAATATGGGTGTTACACCACGCTGCGTTAAATAATCAAAACAACCTGAGCACTTGAACAACCTAAATGCCTTAGCGGTGCCTATTTAGGCCTATAAATAATTCTGTATCGATTTCTTATATCATGTGGTCCTGATGGCATCATCGGTCCGTGACCTTCAGCTCTCACTGGGTCGGTTCTCAGCAGAGTGCGAAGCGGTTGGGATGAGGATTAGCACCTCTAAATCTGTGGCCATGCTTCTCAGCAGGAAAGTGAAGGAGTTAAAGTACCTCGGGGTCTTGTTCACGAGTGAGGGGAGATTGGAGCAGGAGATTGGCCGGAGAATCGGAAGCAGCGGGGACGGTATTTTACTCGCTTTACCGCACCGTTGTGACGAAAAGAGAGCTGAGCCGATCTCGATCTACCGGTCATTTTTTGCTCCTACCTTCACCTATGGTCAGGAAGGCTGGGTCATGACCGAAAGAACGAGATCGTGGGTACAAGCAGCCGAAATGGGTTTCCTCAGGCGGGTTAATGTAAGACACTGTGTAATATCCTCTGGGCTATTTTTGTTAAATGTACTGTATACATTTCAGATGGTGACTTTATGATTTTATAATGCGCACAAATAGTTTACTATGATTTTTCCAGTGTATTAATTTAACTCCTGTAAATTAGTCTGTTTACAGTAATTATACAGATTGAGAAAGACGAACCACTTTGCAAGAATGTGTTGATTGCTAATAAAAAAATTGCCTTTTAGAGTCTGAACCACCTGGTATTTTATTAACTGTACAAATATAATAAATGTATAAAACAATGTATGTTGTTTTTGCTATTATTTTTAGTAAAATAACACAAAAACAGAATTTGGTGGAGAGCTGATGGACACATTATGTCTGACAGGGAAACAATTGTGAGGAGATGTCTCATTTTCTAGTCTGGACAGGCTGAAAGTTCAATTCAAGCTTCTCTTCTCTTTAAAAATATACACTTAAAGAAAGATATTCGCTGCTTCTGGCGCATAATGCAACTTACGCTGATAACATCATTCTCCAGAAGTAATCCATAAAGCTTTCTCAAGAATTCACTCAGCCAAAACATGGGAGTGTTTTTCAATCACGTGAAGGCCAGCTCACTCTGGGAGAATTTAAGGCACAGTGAAAAGCATTCATTCAGCACAAACTGTCATTATGTGGAGCAGCCAAAGATGATGCATGATCCACCTCTGGTGAGTCACAAGTCACGCAGATCAGGAAAAGTGATTCTGCTGTAGGCGAGACTTCAGAAAGTTTCCGCTATAGTGCCATCTAGTGAGTGAACTAGCAACAACTTGATGCATACTGAAAGATTATCTAACTTTCTACACTGAACATTCACCAAATGAGCAAAAGTATAGGGACAGGAAACAGGTCTTTAGTGCACTTTTGCATTGCAGTGGTGTTCTTGTAACTTTGTGTTCGGTGCTTTCCTGGTCGAACATGACAATGCTCCTGTGCACAAAGCCAGGTCTGGTATAGTTTGAGACAACTTGACTGGCCCTGCACAGAGCCCTGACTGCAACACCATCCCTCTGGGATGAAACTGGAACACTGACTGCAAGCCAGACCTCGTCGCCCAACATCAGTGTTGGACCTCACTAATACTCTTGCGGTTGAATGCGAGCAAATCCCCAAATCAGGCTTTCCACAAGATGTTGGAACTGTTCATTTTCCAGGCCGTGAAAGTTTATTCTTCACTTAAGGACTCTGAACTGAGGGAATAATAGTTTAACAACCTTTTCTGGAGCTTTAAACTGCATCTCAGTGTTCACTAATGAAGACAGTCTGTAAAAAGCTTCAGAAAGTGGTTTGAAAATAGATTTGTCAAAGACTATTTGGCAAAAGCAATTAGTGATAATTTAACTGGAGCCCTCAAAAGCTCCTAATGGACCTCTGAAAACCCCTATAACTGATTTTTGGCAGCACAGAAATCATTCATATGTTGATATTAGCACATACCGAAGGTCAAATCACAAACAAAGTCCTTTATTCAAGTGCAATGATGTGCAATGTTATTTATTAAATCTGTAATCAAACATACAAATCATTGAAACAGCCCCCATAAGTACAAGTAACCCAAGTAAACAGTCACTTTTGTTTGAGCTCTTTAAAAGCAAAGCTTTGTTATGTACCAGATTATAATGTGCAAGTCTAAGAGCTGATTTTGTTCAAATGTGCAAAGATGTAATAAAAAAGATTAAAAGGTGCCATCGAGTCAGGGAAAATCGTAGGTACAAAAATAATCTATGATGATTTGTTACATAGAAATGAGCAACGTCACACTGTATTAATCAATTTCCAACTTAAATACAAAGCGATGCAGCCAGCTTTTCCTTTAAGCACCGCTTAGTATGGGCCTCAATACCTGAAGAAGAAAGCTACGCAATGCCACACCGAAATCAACAAATACATAAAAAGTTAGGAATGATATAAAAATATGAATTCTCATGAGTATCTAAAAAGGATGACTTGGTAAAGTCAATTCTAAAACACAATACTGTGAGAAAATAAGTCACATCTTTTAATGTCAAAATGATGAGATACTTCTAGTTTGGCCAGTCCGAGCGTTACGACTGATTCAAATACTCGGCAGGAAGCGGCTTCCATACACTGTGGCACATACACATACACATAAACCTTAAAGTGAAAATTTTAATTTGATCTCAAACCGATATTCGAGTTAATACAGAGCAGAAACATCCCTGAAATTACTTTTCTGGTGGACAGACTATCTAATGAAAACACTGTTTTGACCTCAAACATAATATATATTTGACATTTCTCTACTGAAATATACTGTACTGTTTGTACTTATCAGCTGACATATACACCAATACTGATATATTGGTCAAGATATAGCCTGGTTCCACTGGAGACTACATTAAGTGTCACTTATTTCAGGCCAAATTAAAGGATATTATATCCTCTGTCCAGACAGTATCGGAATAAATGAACTGTGCTGTATAATTACTTCTTGTAGACCCTGAACAGGTTGAGAGGCAGTCTTGGATTCCTCATGTGGAAACACTGGACAGATTTTAAAAAAGCGAGATGATCCACTGATCCAGTCTGTCCTTACACACCATCAGGTGCATCTCAAAAACTTAGAGTATCATGGAAAAGTTCATTTTCTTCAGTAATTTAACTCAAAAAGTTCAATTTTCATGTATTCTAGCTTCATTACACATAAAGTGAAGCCTTTTTTTTTGTTTTAATTTTGAAGATTACGGCTTACAGCTCATAGAAATCAAAACTCCAGTAGCTCAAAATGTTAAAATAAATCATTTATAATACAGAAGTGTCGACCTGAGAAGATCTCTAATCAGCTAGTTAACTCAAAACACCTGCAAAGGTTTCCTGAACCTTTAATCTCTCAGTCTGGTTCTGGCGCTCACAGTGAACTTTTCCACGGTATTTTTGAGGTTGCACCTATGACACCATTATTAAATGCACCTTCAATAAAGAAATGTGAGCATTTAAACCTTCATCTCCTCGGGCCTCCAGGTGAGAACCTTAGCGCAGCTTTACATGCAGAGCCTGTTCAGTGGGTCAGGTTTTGACCTGAGGCAGCATGCTGTGGATTACATGTGTGATTCATAACCCTGCTGTGTCACCGGATTACTACTAAGTACCATTTCATGACTGGACAAAGTGTTTCTGTGCTTGGTTGGGGTTGTTTTGATCGTGTTGTTTTCCAGTCTGGCAACACATTTATTAAAGCAGAATATTGTACGTTCTGCAACATCCCTGTTGAGTAAACCGTGTGTAAACGTCAGTGCTGTGCGGTTTCTTAACCAGAGGATTTACTGGATTTAACCCTCTCCAGATGGCTTTTGTAATTCCAGGACACGCCTGTTGGCCCCAAATGTTGAGTCACCATTAAAATGTTGGCCATGTAAAATATGAAAAGCAAGACCAACCTCTCTCTCAATGCCACTGCTCTGGCGTCACACGACCCCCTTGTGACACAGAAATCTGCCAGCAGTGGTCACGATTACAGACTCAAGGTCAAGAGGCTTTAGAGGATAAAGAGAAGCAGGCTGACCCGCAGTCGCGTCACCATCTACAGTATGTGCTAACATCTAATCTAGCTTTTGTAACACAATGTGCATTTGTGATAGATCATGGAGCCATAAATGAGTGATACACAGTATGTTACTGGGATGTTCCCACTGCGATGATTCTGTAGTGGAAAAGCATTTTCAGAATGAACAAAACTACCTGAAAGAGGAAAAACTAAAATAAATACCAATTAAGTGCGCTGCTAAGAGGCTTAATTGCATTTTTGCCTGTGCTACCATTATTACATACGAAAGACTTGGAACTAAACGCATATAAATTGTTGTCACTGCTTTTAAAATAACTAATTCCTTTAAACCTATGTAACAACTGTACTTTTAATTAGTCTTAGTGTTTATTTGTAGATCTTAAAGAGTCATTGAACGTCCTTTGGTTTTGGCGGGTGTGTCTGGTAACTCTGTAACTCTGCTCTGTCAGTATGCTGCCAGGTGATCTCAATGAGATCATCTGGTTAAATAAAAACAAATATATTTGCATTTACACTGCCGGTCAACAGTTTAAGAACAGCCCCATTATTCTAGTTTGTATTGAAATATAAGTAGTTCAAGTCCAGAGAAAAACCTTTAAATGGTAAAAAAGGAAAGCAGCAAACTGCCAAAGTTAAAAACAAAGGTTATGTCACCAAAACTGAGACGTTTTCAGAGATAAAATTAACAATTAAATTGTATTGTTGTGTATGTATGTGTTTGTTTATTATTTAACTGTAGGATCAACAGATGCACACCTGGTCTGTCTTCCTTCATTAACTGCCTTCCTAGTAGCAATATTGTACAAACAAAGTGTGTTTTTACACAGCCTTAACTTTGTTGTTACCTTCTTTGGTTATTCTGCAGCAATGGAAGTAAATGAAGAACTTGAAATGCCTTGATGCAAAAACAAATTTCTGCAGCTGTTCCGACTATATTGCAACTAGAAAGGCATAAAGGAAGACAGAGCAGTTGATCCTACAGTGAAATATTGAACAAAACTCCTTAATTTTTGTTAATTTTATATCTGAAAATGTCTGTTTTGGTGGTGTGAATGTTGTTTTTAACTTTGTCGGTTTGCTGCTTACTTTGGCGTCATCAAGGTTTTTTTCACTGGACTTATATTTACATACAAACTAGAAAGACGCGGCCGTTCTAAAACCTTTGACCGGAGTAAATGAAAATCAATGTATGTGACTACTAGCTGTCGATAGGAAGACATCAAGGAAAAAAGGATTTGCTGATTGTTTTACACATTTTGAGATGCTGTATTCAACGCAAAGAATCAGCTGCACCGTAAAAAAAAAAAAAAAAGAAGCTGCGATTTGTTCTTGTGACCCAGTTTTTCCAATGCAACAAAAAAATTGTCTTTTGCCACATTTCTGCAAAAATTCTGTACCTGTCGACATCCCTGTACACCGTTTCCTGTCCTGTGTCAGTACCGATCTCACCCAAAGAAATGTGTCTTGGGTCTGGACTTGAAGGAACCTTTCGCTGACCCGTCCAGCTCCTCTGAGTCACGGAACGACGTGCTGTGGACAATCTGAGACGTCCTCGCGCGAAGCCTCTGCAGTTTGGGCTTCATCCTGCTGAGCGAAGACTTCCTCCTGAGGGGTTTCTCTCGGGGCTCCCCGTCCACAGAGTCACAGTTACTGGGGTTGAGGAGCCTGAGCGGCTTCAGGTTAGACTGGAGAACCTTAGAGAACCTCCAGCGGCCTCCATCCCTGGGGTCGGCGTTCTCTGACTCAGAACACTCGTATGCTCCTATGATGTCCCGTATGTCCACACTCACGTTGTCAGTGAGGTACTGGCAGGCCTTCCTCCCGCTGTAGTCTCTGATCTCCACATCTGTGTTGTAGGCCCCCACCAGGAGCTTCACCACCTCCATGTGGTTGTGCATGGCAGCGATGTGCAGCGGCGTGTAGCCGGTGTTGGATCGAACATCAACGCTGATGGGAACATTGTGCTGTTTGGCGAAGTTGATGATCAGGGCTATCAGCTCAGGCTTGCCGTGCTTGGCCGCCCAGTGCAGGCAAGTAAAACCGGTGACAAAGTCCTTCCTCAGGACGAGGCTGGGCTCTTGGGTGAGGAGGCCGTACATGCTGCCCCACTCCCCGTCCGAAGCACACACCATCCACTCATGCTCCAGCGGGTCCAGAGCGACTGAGGCCCTGTCGTCGTCCTGGTTGGAGGAAGCCAAGGAAACGGAGTCACTGTCATCCCTGGAGGACAGGTGAACAGAGTTACGTAACACCATGCTCCGCCTCAACTGGGGGGATCTGCTCACCATGACCTTGATGAAGTGTTTGCGGCTGCTTATCGGGGTGATGTTCCCTTCACTCCCAGACAAACTACGCTCATCCAACTGCCGTTCATCCTTCTCTTCGTCTGGCTGCTGCTGTCTGAATCTGTGCTTGGATCCTTTAGTGTTTCGCCGCCTGGTCGCCACATTAATCTGCTCCGCTTCCTTCAGGCCGTCTACTGTTTGAGACTCAGTCTCAACCTGCCGGTCTTTGGGATCGAGTCCAGAGGTGGCCGCGTCTACCTGTCCTGTAATACCAGTTTGTACAGGCCCAGGCAGGGTGAACACGGGTCCCGCTGCAGGGAGAGGCGAAACTTCAATCACTGCAATTTCTGGTATGTCAGGCCCTTTTCCAACACGCTCCTTCTTGGACTCCTTCCTCTCTTTTCGAAAGCTTTCTCTGTTCCCCATCTCACCTGAGCTGCTGCCCACCTCCTCAACTACACAAACAAACTTATGACTCTTACTTTTGTCATCCGTTTTGTCCGGCAAAATGGTTGCAGGAGACAAACCATGCGGAAATGTCACCTGCTTGTCACTTCCGAGACCTGAGGCAGGTGTTACCTGCGGCTGAACGTCACCGCCGGCGGGGCTTTGCGGGGCCGCATCCGCCACTGCGTCATTCCCACTAACCCGCCTGCTGTCTGCGGGATAATAACGGTGAGCTGGCTCCCTATCCGTCCCGTTGCTGACACCCTTCACTGAGCAGCGAAACTTTTTCTTAAGGCAGACATACTTAACTCCACTCTCCGTTTTACGAAAGCAACGTCGTCAACGTGGTTTTTAAACCTCTCGCGCACAGCCGCCCTCTTCTCAGGCTCCTCGGGGAACACAGCCTTAAAATGCTCAATTAAATCCGTGTTTTTCACTTTGCCCCCTTTGTCCTTCAGAAACCCCAGAATCGCCTCTTGAGTACACTCTGCAGCCATTGTAAAAAAAACTACTAATACGACCACTTTTTAACAGTTTTATCACGCTGTAGCGACGGACATGCTCTCCTGCCTGCCGTAGGCTCCCGTCCCGTCCCGACACATCCACCGAGCTATCCCTCGGTGTAGAAATTAAAAAAGTAGATCCTAACGTTGCCAAAGACTGAGGTCCACCTTTTCTCTGTGTTTTATTTCTACCGTCAGACGCTCTCCGCCTCCTAGGGACTGAATCCACTACCCGGCCGTACCATTTCATTTGTTGGGGGGGGGGGGTTGAATAATTAAAAACGTTATAATTGTTGTTATAAACTTAAAAATTATTGACATGTTTCGACATGATTATGTTTGAAAAAGAATCACATATCACAATGAAACTTTACAAGCTGATACATACATAGAAGCTTTTTTTCTTTTTTTTTTTTTTAATTAGGTTACTTTTTTATGTTTAAATTTTTTTTTATGAGCCTATGCAAATAAGTTATTTCCTCATTAAATATGCACTGATTTGCATATCACACAAATCCATTTTCCAGCACACATTTTTCTTTTGTTTGTGATAATATACCAGCCAGACATTTACAGAACGGCATATCAAATATTGTTTTTCCATGCATTTATTAAAAATATACTATATATATGTGATGGAGCCCTTTTTCGTTTTTTGCCATTTTGAGGAAACAGCTGTTAAAGATTAGCTAATGCTAATTAGAAACTTAGAATAAACATTACTGTTTGTCACATGAACACATCGCTTATAGATATATAGGCTAATTAGGATAAATGAACTAATATTGTGCTATAGAAAACAAACTTTCAAATGATATATGATTTAATATACTCAGTTAAACTTTTAAATGGAAAATGCTAACACAGATGTGCGGTTCATGGACTTGGTATAAAATAGATTATTATAGATAGATTTTAATAGATAAAAAAAATAAATTATTAAAGATTGTTTTGTACATTTTATGAAAGTTACAAAATAACTTGAAATCTTAAAACTGACAGAATGAAGCAAAATCATCATTTTGGATTGTGGTACTTAAGTACTAATGCCACACTAAAAATATTCAAGTAAAAGTCCCCCATTGAAAATGTTACTAAAGTATAATCAACAATAAATAAAGTTTTTTAACTGTGAATACAACTGTAAATAAAGGTATGCTACTAAAGTTATGTAACTATAAATATAGTTATACTGCATACTATATACATACAGTGTGATTCACCTTGGACTGGAAACATTGTCTGGTTTGTACTACAGGGAGTTTGTCTTTGTACTTATGTTCAAATAAAGTTTGATAAAAAAATACGTTCTTATCCTACAGGAACCAGAACTCCCTGATTGACCCTCCATTTTAAAAACTGATGTCCAACCCAAAGACTTGTGAGCTCTCCGGTGTTGATGCCATAAGGCAAAAGGAATTAAAAGACAATATCTGGAAAAAGATACCTGATCTTTAAAGGTTGTGGTTTCGACTGAATGCTGCTGTACGATAAAATTCACCACAGAGGAGAGCTCGAAGGTCTGAAGGCCGTTAACTCAGGTTGATAGAGGGTTGTGTGGATATCTTATCTGGGTTAGAATCTCAGCTGATGATGAATATTTTAAAAAGCTGATGTTTAAATGAAAGAGTGAAAAGCACCAGGAAACTCAGCGCATCTTTCTTGTCTAATAGCTCAGCCTGGTAGTGGGCGAGTTTGAGGTTCAGGGGTTGTGGGTTCAATCCTTATGGAGGCTCAGTGAGTTTTGAAGTTGAACTCCTAAAAGAAAAAGTCAAGAATTACAGGTGAAGTGTCTGGTCAGATAGCTCAAGGTGAAAGCACTTCATGGAGGTTCTGGGTTCGATGCTTATCGCGGCTCAGTGATTTTTGAAGAGCAACTGCCAGAAAAGAAAAAGTCAAGAGCTCTACGAAAGAAAATTAAAGTGTCTGGTCCTGTAGCTCGTTGAGATAGCGGCTGGCTTTGAAGTTCAGAGGTTGTGGGTTCGATCCTTATCAAGGCTCAGTGAATTTTAAGGCGCAACTCCTAATGTGAAGTGATAAAAGCGCCCAGAGAGAAGGCGCCATGGTGAAGGGTATTCGGTGGCGTGTTGAGATTGTCTGTGCCATTGGTGCGGCGTCTCCGGGTTCAAATCCCATCCGTTGCCGGTACCCGGATCATCTGAGACATTCCTGAAGTAACAGGGTCGGGGAGGGGCCGTGTCTCTCCCCGGCCGTTCTGAGAGATGCATGCTGGGGGTTATGGCAGGGAAGACCATAAGAATTTTACCCGGCTACACTTCAACATCACACACTGTGCATATGGAGAGTTTAAAGTCTTTTATTAAAAACGAAAATCTAACGAACCACAAACATTACATTTAACAAAGCAGCGTGTCATTAGGCGGTTTGTTTCAAAGACTGCAGAGCTGGAAGGATGTCGTCCAGCTGACTCACTCCTGAAACACAAAGCAGAAGATTCAGCCACATGAAGATTCACATTAAGCCCTGTTTATGACATGATATTCAGATTAGTGTTTGATACTTACCCAGAGTCTGTAAAATGTCCATAATGAGGGCATGGAAAGCAGGAAAGAACTCCTCGTGCTGCTTCACTTTGACGATGATGCTGGAAAACAAAAGCAAAGAGAAAGAAAACTTCAGCCCTGCAGTAAAAGCCTTTGATATTCCAGATAATATGTGTGGTTTCTGTGTATGTGAACCTGTCGATGTCAACATCTGCCAGCAGATCATGGAAACCAGCAGCGTGACCCGTGGAGGAAACAAGTCTGGCCACCTGGTTCACCACCTCTGAAGAAGGAGCCCTGCTGTCTGACACAACACCACAAAGAAGCAACTCAGTCATTTCATTCCTGCTGTGCAAACACCCAGCACTGACCGGCTCAGATTCCAGCTGAAGGTTACCTAGCTGTAGCTCATCTCGGAGATTCCTCATGGTGTTGGTCATCTCTCCCAGCCTGGTGTAGACCTCGTTCATACGCGGGTACACTCCGCTGAGGGAGGTCACGTCAAACAGCTTCTGGAAGTGAGACACCATGGAGCCCAGAGTGTATCGAGTGGGACTCCTCAGCACCTAGCAAACAGTTAAAAACGTTTAAATACAGTACGTTGCCTGGCTTGTCCTGGATCTGGGTTGATTAGAGCTATAAAAAGGGGCACTTGCAGCAGGTCTTAAAGGCTGCTGCAAGTGCATACGGCCATCAAAGCACCATGGAACGTATTAAACAACACCTTGAGCAAGTAGAACAAAGTAGTGTCCTACTTTCTCATTGTCAGTGGAGGCGTTTTCCAGCATGGTGTCCACCAGCAACATCATGTCCTCCACCTTCACAGCTTCCGCAGCGTTACAGCCACCGTGAGACGGCTGCCAGGGCATCAGCCTGTCACTCAGTTTGTTTAAACCCTGCTGCAGATCCTGCCAATATACACATATGAAAAGAAAGGTAAAGCAAAGGTAGAAAATCTGGAGACACATTCTGAATGATCAGCAAGAAGCTCGCTTAGACTGGGGTGAAGATACTGATAGTGGCGTTTACCTTCAGTAGGTGGAGCTGCTGGGCCCAGACTTCCAGAGAGGGGAGGAGAGTCTGAAACTCAGCCGGCTCCAAACCAACAGAAGAGGGTTTCTGTCTGTGCAGTCGTAACGGAGCGCTGGGATTGGTCACAACAGCACTGATCTCATTCAACAGCTGGAATTCAGGAAAAGTAGGAGAAGTGTTCAGTTAGGAAATCATATTTTAGAAAATGAGGGTTGAACCCCAGTAGAGAGAAGACAGGAAACCTTCCTTGTGGAATCAAACAGTATGCTTACATGGTGATAGTGGCCACACAGGCCGGCCTCCCTGGCTTGGTCACTGATGCTCTCACTGGTCTCAGTTGTGTCGTCTTCTTTAGGCAATCTGCAAAAATGGGTGGTGCTTCTGATTAAATCAGTCCCTGGACACTTACAATCCAATAGTTAAAGAGTTTGGCCCTTCATTCACTTGCCCAGTGCGGCAAATATGTTCACTGTGCTTTAAAAAGCTTAAGAACAGGTTGGGCTTACGACCCCTTTAGCAAAATCTACTTGTCACAGCTTATAGGCACTTTAAATATCCTTCATTAACACTTTGAATGCAATTTGTTTCATATGCGCTAATTGTTTTAGTGTTGCAGACGAGAGCACCCTGTACACTAGAAAGCAGCAAACTGCAGTATTTCAGAATAACCACAGACGGTAAAGTAAATTTCAGATATATACCATTTTCAGGAATAAAGTAATGAGTTAACAACTTCAAGTTATTCTGTACCAGTGGAAATAAATGAAGCCTTGAAAGTTGATGTCCCAACCTTGGAACAGCCTGTGTTAATACACTCTCAGAAGCTTTGTTTGTGCAATATTGCCACTAAAAAACTAAAAATAAATGAGGGAAGACAGAGCAGCTGGTCGTCAGTTGATCCTACAGTGAAATAATGAACAAACATACTTAATTTAATTGTTAATTTTATATCTAAAAATGTTATTTTTTTTGACCGGTAGAGTGCATGTAAAATAATAAAGATTTATGTTTCAGGAACTAAGAATCTATAGGAATAATAAACAGTTATGTTTCTGAAATTTCTGACATTAAATACAGTGAATGGCCATCTTCCTTTCTTTTAACTTGGACAAAAAAAACAAAAAACAAACCAAGCCATAATAACCACATCAGTGGATGGTTTAAATGGACTCTTATGAACGTGGTATTCTTATTTACATGGTAACACAACCACACCTGAAGGCATCATGCATCTGATACACAGATATAGCTGCCCTCCTCACATCTTGGGCACAGCGAGTAGATTTACAGCAGTCTTTCACTCACTGGTGTTCCTACCTTGTGTTATTTTGTTTGTGTAACCCCTCCAAACGGCGGAGCTTGTGTTTGTAGATCTTCACTTCTCTGAGTGTCGGCCTGCGCAGATGAACACAGTCAGCATGAATACTGATACGCCGGCACATGCACTTGCTTCAAGCTGGATGAACACGCACCTTGTCTGCAACTCTTGCTTCAGGCGCTCCGTCTCCCTCTTTAGCTCTTCTATCTCAGCTTTGCTTTCCTTTTGCTGTTCTTGGTACGCCTGAAGAAACGCAAGAATGTTACCTGCGGCTTCAGGGGAAACTACTTTGAAAATAAATAAACATTTCTCACGGTACCTTCAGAATGGTTTTGAAAGATGGAGTAACATTACTGGACGCTTTCTTGATTCTTGTCTGATGAGCCACTTGAGATCCTTCTGGTCGTCCTTTCACAGATCTGGGGTGAAATTGTTCAGAAATTTTTGTTTTTTCTTCCTGCCCCAGTTGTAATCTTGCTATTTTTTAGGTTTATCGCCCTTGTTGGGCTGGGAATCACTGCTCTAGCATACTAGTGACTAACACAGTGTGCCTGACAGGATGCAGCCAGCGTAAACACAATGCCAGGTTGATCTGGGCTACAGTGAGCCAAAAAAGGCAGCAGTCCACTGAACTACGCCACCTGCCACTACAGCCTCATAATATTCTACTCTGAAGCCAGTGTTTGAGAAGCACGCTTACCTGAGCTCATCCATCATCTGAGTCATTTTAGTTTCATAGAAGTCAATCACATCCAACACCCTGCAGACAGAAGCACCAGAAAACAAGTAGCAATCAACTCAATCACAGACATCTGTCTGAGGAAGTCTGCATGATGCATTTGAAAGCTGGGGAAAAAGCGAGTAATTGGACCTTAAGGTACAATTTCTGCAAACATTGTGTCCGACTCTCCTAGCCCCACGCCTCACATACTTCATGCTGCCATAGCCTAATGCAACCAATACTAACAAAAGAATCAATACCTTTGATAAAATCACCATGTGCTCATATTTTACAAGCCAGCAAAGAGAAGATATCATGTTCTTACTGCTGGTCTGCTGCGGAGTTCTGCTGGCTGACTTTGTTGCAGATGCGCTGGAAAGTCTGACTCTGTTGAGCCAATCGTCGCTCTTCTTCTTTGACGGTGAAATAAAGTTTCCTCTGAAGCTGAGCTGCCTCCTCCCTCTGTTTAGACAGCTTCTCCTCCAGAACCTGACACAGCTTCTAGAAAGATAACATTTCCCAAAATAATGAATCATATATGTATCCGGTGTGTACAAACTGAGCATCATATCTATATCTATCTATCTTTCATGTAAGTCTGTTGACATACCTGTGCTTCTTGTTTTTCCTGCTGCAGCTGTTGGGTGTGGCTGTGCTGCTGGACAGCCTTGCCGAGGTAGCGGTCCTCAAGGTCCTGGACTCTGGTCTTTACCACGTCCAGCAGCCCCTCCAGCTCTGCGGCCCTCTGAGACTGCTGAGCTGCTCGACCCATGTGCTCATGAACCTCCTCTCTAAACACACACACACAGAAAAGGTTCACTCTCAAAATGCAACAAGTTAGTCGTTACTATTTATTATTCATCGTATCTGTCTGTAATAAGTCATTTTATTTTAGATTGCCATTTTAAAAACTGGCCAAGGACAATGGATGAAAAACTGTCTCATTTACAGTTACTTTGCTGTCAAATAAACAAATATATGACAAAATGAGACATTCGGTGCAAACTGTCGGTATTACGCAGTTTAAAAGAGTACTCCCAAGATCTACTAATGTGCTTCCATGAATACGGAGGACTCACAAGAGCCAAATTGAAAACAAAGAGCACATAATGTGATTTACTAATGGTGATGTAACCCAAGAGGCTTCTAACTACAGTATTTCATCTGACTAAATGACTGAAATACGACCGTAATACAGTCAGCTGGTTTCCCTTTCGTCACTTCATACCTGCACTGAGCTGTAGCACTCAGGAGGCGCATCTCTGTGATACTCATCTGATGCTGATGAGATTAGATGACAGGAGGACAGGTGGTCGACACACACTACATATCCATTATTAAATAGATACACCTGCAGTAATCCATGCTGCAGGCATGTATGCACTGGAGCATTCCCTCAGCTGTGCTTCCACTGTTTTACTTCACTTTGAATTGTTTCATACATTCCAGGACGAGGACATGATGGAGTCTACATACTGCTATTGCCAACATGGCGCTGCAGATGGCTGCCTCTGTGTTTTAGCGCACGTTGTTAAAATTCAGTTTCCCCAGACTAGAAACCTAAAGGCCCCCACTCCATTAACAACCTGGCCTGCTATTGCTTTGAAAGACAATAGGACAGTTCTGACACCAGCCCCCGTGACCCTCGATCACCTCCCTGAGCAGGGACCTGGGGCCTCCATCCAACCTGAAGCACTGTGCCGATCAGCTGCCTCAGATATTCTTCAACATCTCACTGGGTACATGCCATGTGCCAGCCTGTTTAAAATCCTCCACCATCATCCCGTACTCAAAAAAACAAGGACCACAGGACTTAACGACTATAGAGCCATCGCAGTTCGTCAACAGAGCCAACAGGTCTGTAGATGATGCAGTTAACGTGGCCCTTCACTTCATCCTCCAGCACCTGGACTCCCGAGGAACCTACGCCAGGATCCTGTTTGTGGATTTCAGCCTTCAACACCATCATCACCAGTAACCAGCCCGTCAAGCTCCTGAAGTTTGCAGATGACACCACCCTCATTGGGCTCATCTCTGGTGGGGATGGGTCCGACCACAGGTGGGAGATCGACCATCTGGTGACCTGGTGCAGCCAGAACTACCCGGAGCTCAATGCTCTGCAGACAGTGGAGATGATTCCTGCTGATTTCAGGAAGAGCTCAGTCCCACCCTCCCCCATTACTATGTGTTCCGCTTCCTGGGCACAATCATCTCCCAGGACCTTAAGAGTGAGCTGAACATCAGCAATAAAAGATGTATGTTTCCAGTAGCTGTACAGTCACATCCTGTAAGTGTTTGTAGGCCTTATTAACATAAATAAAAACAGAATAACATAAATATATGCATGAAAACACACTTGGTTCCTGAATGCCGTTGTAATATTGTTGCAGCAAACAAAACTAACCAACATTATTGGGCCTTTGTACCTCACATAACACTAATGTATGACTGCTGCAATTAAAATGTCTGGGTTATTTCTCTGAATGGAAGACAAAGTGAAGTAAGGTGCCTGCATGCCTTCATCACGACATCCATGCAGATTCAAACCCTCTAAAAACCTTACATTTTTAACCCCCGCCGTTTTTTCCATTCACCACAAATGAACACGCCACTGTTTTGGGCAAAAGGTGGCAGTGATTAATGAAACAGATGGTCCAGGAGGTTGGTACTTAGTATAAAGATCAACATATCTGAGGGGAATGAGTGACTGCATCATTGTTTGACTTACTTGAGTTGGTTGTTAGCCTTGATGAGCTCCTGGATGAGGGTCTGCCTTCTCTCAGAGTCTGTGAGCATCGTCCTCAGAGTCGTCCTGATCTCACCAGCTGACTTCTTGTCCAGCAGAACCAAATCTAAGGACACATGAGGAGTCACGGGACCGAGAGGCTTCACTAATGAGTATAAAACTCAAGCTTCCCAAAGCCAAATGTACAGTATGCAGACAAGAATAAACTACTGAGCGAGAAATGCTACAAAGAAGAAAATTAGTTATTTCCTTCAATTAATTTAATTAGATCTTATTTAGAAATTGATATTTTGGCAAGGAATAAGAAGCACTGACTCTTACCCGAAAGGCTCTTATTCTCTAAAGGATCTGCAAAATGCACTGGCTTAAAACCATGATGCTGCATAAGTTTATTCACTTCATCCCACTCTACTTGCTCCTGCTGCAACAGAGACAAACACAACCCATCAGAACAACATCACATCAGTGTGAACCTGGTAAAGACATCTGAGCTCTACCTGGAACTGCCTGCAGGTCCACAAATAAACATATGTCTTATTTCTTGATTGCAAAAAATGAGCTGTCCCTCTGTCCATGTCCATTCTTAAAAGTCCTCCACTCCGTGCAAAATTAGCAAGAGCATCGTTGTTATCATTGCATCTTGGGTGCCTCCTTTCAAAACCAACAAGTGATCAAGTTTCTGCAGCTCCTGCTGCGGAGAAACTGCCACTTCAATGAATGAAAGGCGATCCACTTACTCCTACATGATCTCTCTGAACCCCTCCCCTCCACACACAAGCCTCTATATTAATGTTATTTTAGTCAGTGTTGACTTACCTGCTCCATCGTTTCACCCCACTGCAGGAAATAAAACGATATGCACGGCGTTAGAGTTAGTAGTGACTTCCAGTTAGTACAGTATTAAGTTGATGCGGATCTCAATTTAAAAAATGGGCAATTTAAAGATGACAGAATGTCTCTAACAAAAAAAACAACTTCAAATTAAATAAATAATACCATTTATGAATCTTGAAGTTATTGCGGTAAATTCGGCATAGAAGTAGTTAACCGAGCAAGCACTTTTAATTTATTAAAATAACATTAAACTGCCTAATATTCAACAGTGTTTTTTAAAGCGCTCTCGAAAAGGAACAGAAATGACAGGCACTAAATTAGCTAGATTTCATAATGCAGTTCCTCCACAAATGGCCCATTAACGCCCAGTAAGTACTTAAATATATCTGCAACCAAGTAACATTAACTTTTTCAACTTTAGAGGTCGGTTAATTTAACGTCAGCTAAAAAGCTATCGTTAACTTCCACCTTCTAGCTGTGAATGTGTTACTGTTAGCAGACTTTTAAAAGTAAAGATGCGGAGAGGTCGGTTACCAATTGTTGGTAGTTTTCTGAAACTGCAAAACAGCAGATGGTTTCACCGCAGCTTCTATTTACTTTACATTTACGCCTCTTCCGCATCTTCCGTCATTCAAACAAGTGCGCGCTGACGTAATCATACTAAACCAATGGGAGTGGGTTAATTCTTCTTCTTCTTCTCTGTGTTTGTTGGCGAGTCGCAAACTAACTTTAAAGGTTCATGCCGCCACCTACCGTGTCAGTGAGGAGATTCATGGCTTTGTGTCAGAATCAGAAATACTTTATTGATCCCCGAGAGGAAATTCAGGCTGCTTACTTTTCATATCAAGATATTAAGAAATAAATATAGAAAATTAGTAAGTAGAATATATAGCGATATATATACACAAATCTAAACATTTAGATATGTAGGCTACAGTGTTGACAGAAGTGTCAAACTGAATAGGAGTAGAGAATTAAAAACTTATATTAATTATGAGTATAGGCATGTGGAATGGAAGCAGTCCTTTATAATAATTAAAATAAATTAATCAAATTACATTAAAAATCAGGACTGGCGACCTGTCCAGGGTGTACCCCGCCTTTCGCCCCATGTCAGCTGGGATTGGCTCCACTGTACTACAGGATAAGTGATTGACAATGGATGGATGGATGGATTAAAAATCATTTCCTAACCCTGACTGTAATCTATTTACCCCCTTCTTATTTAAGGCTGTTAACAAGTGGCCATAACAAATACTGTTTATTTTACAAAAGGCTATTTATTTCAACAAACAAATTCAAATAGATCTTAGCCTTCAGAGACAATTTGACAGGAGCTAATTTGATGTCCATGTAGAGATTTATCACTCAATTGTAGCATCAGTCATCAATTGAGGGACATTTCAGTAATTTCCTGGAGGTTCATCCTACAATTACCAGTACAAAGGGAAACTTTCTCTTTAACACCCAACTATAGCCCTAAAGCCAAACATCTGTCAGCATTTGGCCCATAATTCTTTTTTTTTAATGCAAATAATAGTTTATATTAAAACTGTCCAAGGTTTGGTCCTGAGGTGCTAACACTGTTTCTGATGAGACACATTGCATTTTTTCAATGCTTTGAGCAACTCATACAACATCCCATATCACATCTATCTCTGCACACAATGTTATTATATGTGAGTGTATGTTGTGTGTATATAGTGTAAATATATTTATTTACTCATAGAATAGTAACTGATCATACAGTACTTTTATTGTATTTTGTTCCTTGTTGTTTCATTCCTCTGTACTGCTGTGCCAATGTGAATTTTCTCTACAAGTGATTGATAAAGTAATATATTATCGTAAACTCACATGTTCTTTGTGGCTGAACTGACTATTTAAGATTGATTGAAAGAGATAACATAACAGGACATCATCACGTCATGCTGTGATGGATTACCTAGTTCAAACAAGCTTTAACTTTGAATGTTTCCTTTTTGAGTATTATTAATGAGGCAGGCAGCAGCTCTCAGTAACATTGTTCCTGTACTTAACATTAGTTACCACAAGATGGCAGATATGTTTCAGCACTTCTTCAAAATGTTGTTGCCAGCAGGCAATGTGAAAATGTAAACATCTCTTTAAATTACTGACCAGTCTGAAATTGGTCAATAAAGATGAAAACAATATCTATAATAGAGAGAATAAAAAAGCAACTGCACTTGAAAGAAAATAAATAAATAGCACAGTTTAGGTGCAGTATCTTCTCGAGGCTGCAGGAAAACATGCTGATTTGGAAAAAAATATCAAATGACGTCCAACAACCTCAGCCGTATTTAAAACAAAAGACTTGACTCTGACCACATGTTTTGTTAAACTAAACATGCTAATTAAGACAGTTATTACACTGAGTGATGCATTCATTAGCACACATTTGTATGTCAGTACGCTTGCTGTCATGTTTATATTAACACTCACTCAACCTCGAACCACTACAGATATGTCATTAACTTTTCCTCATCAATTTGTAAATGAATGCAAAATCTGTTCAGATCACCTAGACAGGGGGAGCCAGAGGTGAATCATGTATTAAATATGATTATTTCAAAAGAATACTCAGACACGTACTCTCTTTTAACGGGTGTAGAAGGCAGCAAAATGTGAAAAAGGTGTCTGGTTTGCAATTTCATGTCTGTCCCATATCACGTCAAAAACACACATATCTGCTCGAACAGACTGTGGCATGGTACAGCAAATACACTGTGGTAAATATTGCAATAGCATTAGTCATGGATGTCTAATATTCTAACGTCACTGAGATTACACACTTCTTTATCTTGAACTTCAGCTCCCTGGTGACATTCGGACCCACTGGTGGACAACCGTACTGAGTGGAACGGTCAAACATACACATTTAAATGCAAATTGTCAGCTGTTATTTTGTCTTATCTGAGTCATGTTATTGGCCACATCAGTGTTTGTTTTACCATGTAAATGTGAGATGTATTCACAATGAAGTTTTAGAGGGACAATCTGAATTTTATTTGTATGTGTACTTAAAACAAAGGTGTGTTTACTGCCGTGTATAAAGTCGTCCTCAGAAATGCGTAGGCCTACCATCTAGCACGCATCTGCTTTCAACTCCCCCACTGTGGTCACTATGAGTACTTGGTCAGGCTGTTTGAACTCACCAATTCCCCTGGTGTAGTTAATGATGCATTTTTGGATGATATCCTCATCTTCTCAAAATCCAAACAGGAGCATGTGCGACACACGTGGAAAGTGCTCCAGAGGCTCCAGCAGAAGAAGAGGTGTCGTTCCTGGGTTTCATCATCAGTATCCGGATGGACTCCCAGGAACCAGGACAGTCATGAAGTGGCTCACTCCCTTGACATGTAAGGGGTGTCAACGTTTCCTGGGGTTTGCCAACAGGTTCATCATGAAGTACAGCTCTGTGGAAGCCCACCTCACTGCGCTCACCTCCCTTTTCATTCTTAAATCGGTCTTTGGTGGTGGAAGAAGCATTTGGTGAGTTTGTTATCAGGATTCCACCCTCAAACGATTGTCAAGCAGAATGTATGAACCAAGATATGGAGAAAGCCCTGCACTGCCTCGCCTCCTGAAACCCATCCTCCTGGTCCAAACAACTTCTCTGGGTCGAGTAGCCCACAACACCCTTCGGTTCGGCCACTGGCTTTTCTATTACCCAGTGCTCCCAGAGAGCAATACAGAGGCCCGGGGATGAAACGGCGTGGTTGAAGAGAGGGACTGAGAAGCAAACTGTGACAACAATAGTATAAACCTGAACATTCTTACAGTATGACAGTGTAAAAATAACACCTTCCATTTTCTGTATTACTAACATCAATTCTCTTTTTTAATTCACTGTCACAGTTATAGTGCTCTGTGGCCTTCGTACATGCTTCATGGTAACAGTGCAGACCAAAGACTCATTGCACCCACACTTTCCCAAGCAAGGATGAGCTGAAAGTCTCCCTCTCACACACAAGACATTCGTCATCCTTGGTCTGGGAAACTGTAGGTGCAGTGGTTTGATAAGAGTAGAAACACTTGTTGTTGCTGTAGAGAAAATGAAGAAACATCTGTTACTAGCGTCCCATCAATAACTCCTGTGTTACGTGCTGTACATGCTCACTTTGTGTTACTTTCATATCTGTTCTCCCTACTTTGCCATGCCTCAAGAACCTCACAACAGAACGTATAAAGCAATGTCCTTGGCACAAGCTTGCATTTTGTTGATGTGAAATTTACAGTCGCACAACTCCACACCTATCAAAGATGACACACAGATGAAAATCCCAATTTACTGCTGAGTATCTGTTTTTTTATTATGCTCCTCTGCACTAACACACAACCAATGCATTGTGGTGATCCAGTTTAACAAGCAAAACCACTGGTAATGGTCCTTTAGGTCTTCATTTAGAGGTAAGCAAAGACTTTGAGCAGGTAAACACACAAGTGATTTCCAAACCACAATGAGTAAACCTTGAAGAAATGAATTTTAAATCTCACCCTACATGACATTTGGCATGTCTCTTCATTGGATGGGAAATGTCTGGTGTCACTGAGTGTACGCATACTTTCCTGTCTCCTCATGTAGTTTTCCAAAAGAAAGGTCATCGTCATTTAATAATGAATGGAAGGGAGTGAAGAGCCTGGTTACTCACTGTGTCCCTGCATACATCAACTCCACTGAGCAGAAAATTAAAATGGAAATGTAGGCCTTGAACGGAGTCGAGGGTCCCATTGACCTGCGCTGTATGATTTATGGGAGATGATTACATCACCTCGACCACTGAGCTCACTCGGCGCTCCATCTCCTATCCACTGATTTTCAAAATGTTTCGAACATCTCTTTGATCCTCTTTTTATTATTAAGATATGAATATAGGTGTCAGGCTTTCTCAGGAAATGAACTCACAGAGCACAACTCCAATAAAATGAGCAATAACTTTATTGCAGGATGCTACAGTTCAGGAAAAGGTATCCAAAACACAAGGCTACGGTCAAACTCTCTGACTATGCAGGAATAACACAAGGAATAAGGCAGGAACGCCGTCACGGAAACATCTGGCAAAGACCTCAAGGGAAGGTGGGTTTATATAAACTAAGGGAGGGAAGACAATGAGACACAGGTGCAGCACATTAGGGCGGGGACAGGTAATCACACATGGAGGGACGGCAGACAAAGACCTGAAACGAAACACAAGAAAAGTAACTGAAACAAAACAGGAAGTGGTGACAGACAAGGAAACTGAACACATAACTCTTTAAAAGTTATATATTGACTGATTGTGTAATGAACCTCATCTAGTATGATGGATACGATTTCCATAGTTTGCATATTTATTACAATTGATTTAATTGATTCTGAACAGGGATTTTATCCCAAAGCTATGACAGAAGAAAGTTTTCAGTGTAAATAAGTGAAATAATAGTGTGTCAAGTATATAAAAGTCAGTGCTCTTACTTCATCACCTCATATCAAACCAAAATTTTAATATTATCTATGACTAGCATTTATTCTGCTATAACTATAGGTAGTTACTTTCTGTAATGTGGTTTCATGTAAAACATCATGAGCGTGCAAAGCACCAGGCACTCACATTATCTTGTCGTGTCATTAGTGCAGGAACTGTGCAGCATTGTGTGTGCAGCCAAGTGAATCTTCTGCTCAGCATGAGAATAATTGTTTGCATAAAATCAACTGAAAACAGAACTGTTTGTGTCTGCTGTCATGTTTACGAGCAGGTGACAAAATATTACACCGGCAACGCAGACATACGAGACTGATGATAAACACACAACAAACACCACTGAAGCTTCATGAAAGGAATTAGAAAGACTGATTTCAATACTCGCTAATTAATGCCTTTTTATTTATCAGTACAAAAGACGAAACATACAAACAATAACGGTTGGAAGTATTACCTAAGACGACTTGTTAATGACCAAAGGTCCCCACATGTCCACACCTCAGCTAGCTGTATCTGACGAAGAAGTGGATTGGAAATGGTCAAAAGCTTAAGAAAAAGTGTCAGTGAATAGCCCTAATAATATCATAATGATGAGCGTTAGTCTTGGAGAATTGTAATTTACAACAGAAATCACAGGTGTGTGAGGTGTGGAGTTTCAAAGAACTGGGTACAGGGCAGGTTCAGGTTCAGGTTTCTTTTTTGTTTTGTTGCATTGGACAAGTCATCACAAGTACTCAAGGTTCTATTAAAATAAATAAATGTTGCTTCTACATCTGTGCAACGTCACGTTCTTCTGTGTGATGGCTGCTGGAACAAAGCTCTTTTAATGCCGCATTCTTCCCTTTGGGACTGTAAACCTTCGTCTAGAAGGAAGAAGACATTAAAGTCGTCATTGAAAAATCGAGGCAGTTATCAGCTGGAACCGGCGTACAGGGACGCTGGGTTGAGCTGGGACTCAACAATCAGCCTACTAAGACAACTTTGGTTTAGGGAGTTTCTGTCTTTTAGGGACAGGTTTCCAAACCATGCCACCAAAGAGAAATATAAAATTGGTTCAAAAGCATGAAAAAATATAAAGTCATCATGGTTTTTTCAATGTGGAAATAGCACAGTTGCCTCAAACAAAACAAACGCTGGTTCAGTTTTGAGTCGATCATTGTCCCGAGATATTTGTAAGATTGGGCACATTCCACCATCTGACCCCTAATGGATGTGGCTGCATGTGAAGCAGGGGAGGTCTAATTAAAGATGCTATTAAGTTGCATAATGGGAAATGTAGGATCCAGAGTTTTTGGAGCTTGACTCTACTACTTCTAAGTACTAGTAATCAGGATATCTCGGCCTCTTCTGCTGCACAGATTTTGACCTTTCTTTCTAATAATCTATATCTTGTAAGTCCCTTTTTAAATGTTTTGGGTTCAGGCTGGGCTAATACAGAATAGGGGTCAAATGTTTGATCTCGTTCAAAACTCCAGACTGTGCTAGTATTTAACCATTACTAATTTTACTAAAGAATTGGTTTTGCTTCCAGCTGCGTTCCCCCTGTCTGCTCTTGGTTACTAACTTAATCATAAAACCTCATGAAAATTAAGTTAGCTAAGCCGTTGTTATGCTAATGTTAAAGGTGAGGACATACTGATAAGTTCTCTGTGGTTGGTGTATTTTTCTAACACCACTGTTGTTTTCATATCTCTGAGAAAAAGCTAACAGTGGTTGGAGCATTTTCTATCAGTGCTGTCGTACTGTATGTACATTGAGATCATGCAGAGGCCCATTAGGCGGCTAATGGGGTTTGATTGCTGGGGAAACGAGCCATGACAAATGAGGAGATGTTCTAATGGACGGACAACTTCAGCCACTGAGCCAGATAGTTTGATGGAGGGGGACGGGACCCTCAGGCTCTGCTCCAAATCTGCTCCTCCAGCTGCAATATTCCATTTACAAAGTGGAACGAATCATTTATCTCCCACGTTTTCACTTAAAACTGACATTAAGAAATATTTAATCTCTGGTGAGATTCTATATTTTTCAAAAAATTCACAGATCTCATGTGCAGAGATAAACCGACACTGAATGTATCCTATGCAACGAATAAGTATTGCGTGTGTATCCAAAGCCTAATATATATTCTTAATGTCAGAATGCGGTTGGAGCTGAGAGCCACAGACAGAGTCGGTACACATTACATAATGTCCCGGAGGGTCTCTATTCGATTCAGGTCAGGGGAACATGGAGGTCAGTCAATGGCATCAATGCTTTTATCATCCAGGAACTGCCCACACACTCTGGCCACATGAGGCCGAGCCTCGTCCTGCACCAGGGGGAACCCAGGTCCCATTGCACCCGCCTGAGGTCAAAGTGGGAGCTGAACATCACCTCCCTCACCAAGAAGGCCCAGCAGAGGATGTACTTCCTGCGGCAGCTGAAGAAGTTCAGCCTGCCAGAGACAATGATGGTGCACTTCTACACCGCCATCATTGAGTCCATCCTCACCTCCTCCATCACCATCTGGTACGCTGCTGCCACTGCCAGGGACAGGCGCAGGCTGCAGCGCATCATTCGCTCTGCAGAGAAGGTGATTGGCTGCAATCTTCCTCCTCTTCTGGACCTGCACGCCTCCAGGACTCTGAGGCGAGCAGGAAAGATTGCAGCTGACCCCTCCCACCCCGGACACAAACTGTTTCAGACTCTCCCCTCTGGCAGGAGGCTGCGGTCCATCAGGACCAAAACCTCTCGCCACAAAAACAGTTTCTTTCCAATGGCAGTGGGCTTCCTCAACAAGGCCCGGGTCCCCTACTGACATGTTGTTCTTTCTCTGCAAATAGTTTCTCTATATTTTTTAATTCTTACATAACTTGCATTTGTTTATTCCATGTGTATATGTTTCTAGATTTATTTATGTCAACTGTATGTTTGTCTACGTGTAGCACCTTAACACCACAGCAAATTACTTGTATGTGTTAAACTTGGCAATAAAGCGCCTTCTGATTCTGATTCTTCCGACAGTGGCTCTGAGGATTTCATCCTGGTAGGCTACCTAACAGCAGTCAGGGGACCGCTAGCTAGCACTGCCAAACCGGTCATGCTGTATGATGTTGCAGGCAGCGTAACGTTCACCGTCTTCCAAGTCTGTCACTGGTGCTCTCTGGGTCAAAGGCAGACGAAATGGCTGCTCAGGCCACAGCTATTTTTCAAGTTTTTATGTAAATTATAATATAAACTGGTTTTATATCTACACTTTATGGGAAAAATTAAACTGGAAACATAATCTCAGAGCAGAAGAGATGCAAGCCTCACAATTGCTAAGAAATTACTATTTCTAACTAGGCATTACTAAGTGGTTGAGGGGAAGGACTTTATCGAGGACACATTCTGTTTTACGTGGCCCCTGTCAGAGACTTAGCCCGGGAACATAATTTGCAGATAAATCAGGGAAGGTGGAGAAGTATGAAGAGTTTTCACTAATCCCACGTCACCTTGAAGCAGTTTGACTTCTCTTTTCTTTCATTTTTTAGCCACACTCAATCAGCTCAAATCCCATGGCCTGGAAACCAACTCATAACCTCTTGTACGTGGACACTAGGATGGGGAACGGAGGTTCACACAGAAAAAATAAACTAAATGTAGATAGGTCTGTCTTTTTGCAGAGGGACTGGCTGTCCCCTGGTGATGCAGAGCTGACAGGTAATCCACAGTGAGATTATCTGGCTCTCTCATGTTGCACAGGTGCCGCTGGCTGATATGACAGAAAGTAATAGGCCTCTAACAGCCCATGTGGAGATGGCGGTCAGGACAGCTTTAGATAGCAGCCGATACACCGCAGCTGCCTGGCATTATGTCAACAACAAAAAAAGCAGTGCAGCATTCACTAGAGTTTCCTCAATGCAATCATTTTGACATTACACCTTCACTGTCATGAATTTCAAAATGGAGACGCATTGAAGCAGTTGCATCCATTGTTGCTGGTCAAATCTATTTTGCTTTGCTCGTATATTTCCTAAACCCTCCTGTTTGTCTGGAATTGGCTCTTAAGTGGGAGGCTTATGTTATGGAACATTTGCTGTGGGGGTTTTACTGATCTGTCGCACAAGTAGCTGAATGTGGATATGAATGTGCAGCTTTAGAGGCCACAATATAAGGACGCCATTGAGACAATAAATGGAAACATACTTAGTCGAGTAAATTGATACATCATTTTCATAAATAATACATTTTAAGTACACAGAAAATTTAACAGAGTTTGGTTTGTGGCTCCTCAAAAAAAAATCCTATTAGGGTGGCTTTCTGAGAAAATCTTTACAATTACATTTATTTGTCTGGGAACATGAACATAAAAACATGAATCCTGAACAACAGAAGAAAAGAGATGCTTTGTACTACTGTAGATGTCTCTAGTGGCTTATTTCCATCTGCCTGGGAAGGTAAACACAGCCTCATGACCTCTGTGTTTTTGGTTCAGTGCAGGTGCAATCAGATACGTCAGATATTCCTTGTACAATTTTAAATGGAAAATTGAACCTGCCAGTGGAACTAAAGGAAAGGGAAGAAGATCACCAGAATAGATTACAGGCCGTAACGTAATGTGTAATTACTCCAGAGTCACAGAATAATCTTTTGTACTAACAGTTAAGTACAGTATGTATTAACGTTTATATATTTTTCAGTATTATTACAGGGATGTATGGCCTACAGTACTGAGCTATAATCTGGAAGTTTGGGACCAATCTAGAGAGAATCTATACTTTAGTTGTTGTTTAATTAGGCCCACATACCCTGTAGTTTGCCTGTCTGTTGGTAATAAGGTCATTTTCAAATAAAACCACATCATATTTATTAATTAAGGCAGAAGTCACTTTCATCTACTCTGATATCTCCCGCCATTAACTTCATTAATTACGTAAGCTTTTCTGTATCACCTGACTATTGCTTTAAGAAACAGAATTATCAACCTACCTGTTAAAACTGTGTGGAAAAGGGGAAAGCAAGGGCTGGGGTGGGCAAAGTTTTTAAGACCAAACCTTTCAGAGCCTACAGGTTAAATCCTTGAGTATGTCCTCGAGTATTTCGTAAACCTGCACTGCAAAGCACCATATCTGTAGTCCTTAGTTAAAGACAACCATAAAAAACAACTATAATAGCATTTTATTAAAGCTCTAGGCTCAGTGACTTGACACAGTTTCTACATATTTTATATTTATGGTTTTCATGCTTTACATGTAGAGCTCATGCATTAGGCCCCACAGTCTTTTACAGGGCAAATCAATGACGTAGTGCATGAACCCATCAGAACTGCAGAAGCTCACCAACATATGGACAGGGAGGATCAACATACAGAGGGCCATCTTTTAAAACTGATCCATTCACTTCTCCTCAAAGTCCATGAAAAACATGAATCGTTTCCCTTTTCGAAAAAGTGCATATCCTGTGGAAATATTATCAGCATCCAAAAACTGTGAGAGGCCGAGCATGGAGCCAGGTACACTGAGACGGGAACAGGTCTGCACGTGCTCAAAGTTAAGACATGTTTTCAGCAATTAAACAGAAGCGGAAGGATACACATTCAAATATATTAAGAAAATAACTCAACCTACATCAGAAGTAAGTTAGTTCAATGTGCCCAATGTGTGTTTGAGGCTTTACATCCAGAGGACGGCGGCAGCAAAACAAAGAGTTTAGAAAATTAAAAACATATTTGAAAGTTAAAATGTACATTTGGTTTATAGAAAACAGGTGATTTGGGATTATGTCTTGTTTGGTTTGAAAGAGTTGAACATCACACGTCACACACCGTCACAAACACTTTGTAGAGGCAGATTACAGTAATAAAAACAAACATTTGAATTTGTGGAAAACAACAGTGAAAATAAAAATGTAAAAAGTTGATGCTGACATCATCTTTGGTGAGCTTTTACTGGTGGTAAATGTGACTGAAGTGTTAACTGCAGCAACGCTAGCAGGGTCTGGGTTCTGGGATTTGGGTTTACTGTAGTTGCTGAATATGCAGGAGAGATTCACGTGCATAAGGGTTAGTTACCCTAATCTGGTGCAGCGGGGATCATATTGGGAGAGATGTTTGAAATTAACAAATTACCGGACGAAATCATTTGAATCAGCAAAGTGATTCATAATTCACCTCTCTCTGGCTGCAAGTGACGTATGATTGTATTTAATTGTAATTAAAAGTCCAAGCTTGTCTTTCAAAGTACAGTCACAATTTCTGTTGGTATTTGGATCTCAGTAGCCACCGTTTGTGCCTCTCAAGTATTACCATTACATTCAAATCACAATTCATCCGGGTATCCTTTTCTCAAAAAAAAAAAAAAAATCCAGCAATCTTTGATAAACCCAAAAGGTAATTTTAAAACAATTACCGCTGTTCTGAAAGTATAACCACCTGAAAGAAAAAATATTCTGCCCTAAGCACAATTAAACGTTTTTTTTTTTTGTTTGTTTCCCAAGTTTTGACTCTATTTCCAAATGAAAATCCTTTTTGAATTTGCACATTAACTAAAATAAAAAATGTATTATCACTTACTTTGGTACACGCAGTGGTGTAGTTGGTATACTACACTGTGTTCTAAACATCAACATGTAAGACTACTACATGTAGAACTATCATTATAAATGTATACCGTAAACACGCTTCTTTCCAATATTTTATACTTTCATTGAAAAACTCTGATGTATTGGCAACACACAGGGCTAGGGTCTCAGTAGCTTCCTTTAAACCAGCTTAATGCGACATTGATAATCATGTCATTACCGTCACTTTAAATGAGACTAGGTAACTTTTAAAAGGACACAATCTTCATGTTATGAACGAAAACTGAACCCTTAAGCAATAAAATAACCCTTGTCCAATCCAATACCACTCAACACTCTGGGGTTTTGCCTCTACAGCCTGACTGTACTTGGTCAGGTCTGACCAAGTGTCTAAAGGTGGCAAACTTGCTGAGTCAGTGCGCTACTAATACATTTTAGTATTTACCATCATCTCATAATTGTCACTTGTAGCTACAATAGCTTCTGCTCGGCAAGAGTTACGTAATTCAGGGGACGTCAAGTTTGAACTTCATGGGACTTAGCAAGGTGAAGTCAGAAGGTTAATTTGAAACTGGGACAACAGCGTTCTTGCTGACATCAGCAACACTTCAACGCAGCTTTACACCTGAGCATGAGTGTTCGTGAAACTTGAATGACACTGATTGGCCATGCTTATTAATAGTCCTGCCACAGATAACGGATTTTTTTTTTTCTTTTCATTTATGTGTCAGAGCATTTGATTCATTGATTGCTGTCGGGATGTAAAAAGAATTTCAACAAATCTAACAAAAATGCTTCTGAAAGAAATTGCATACCCCAACTTTAAGTATTTCAGTCATTTTACCCTAAAACTAAGAGGAAATATCCAAGTGAACTTAAGGTTGCTGTCAAAGAACCGCAACAGAGCAGATAAACATCCGTTACCAAACTGCAGAAGGACATCCTCAAGTTATCACAACACTGATGATTTGAGATCACAATACTGAACATGATAACAAACCTTTTACTGTAGATTTCCTACTGTATGAATTTGGTATAATCATACATGCAAAATGAATTTATCACTATTCTTACTGTACAGAAACACCTGCCATGGTAACTAACAATGCTGTACACAAGTTTCCATTCCCAACGTCTCCTTTTACATTTGTCCTTTGTATAAAGTTGCATAACTGATTTAATAATCTTTTTTTCAATGTGTAGTGCTGGTTGAGAGTAGCATGAGGCTATAAAAAAATAAGGAGGAACGTTAAAGCCATGGATTCTGACATCTGGATTAGGTGCGTCTTTCCTCCCGGTAACACACAGTCCACTCCGCGACAATCCAGAGGGAAACGTTTCCACCACTGAAACTGACCGAAACGGTTTCAGAAAGGAAAGCGTGCAGGTTGACACGTTTTCTGTCAAAAGACCCCCACCAACAGCATCACCAGCCCAGCGCTAACTCAGGTGGGGAGTGCAAACTGGTCCTGCTCAATAGGTTTCTTAACCCAGGCGCCCAGTCCGGCTTTGTGGAAGGCTCTGAAGAGCGCCTGCTTGGTGCTGTGGTACTCCACCGCCGCCTGCTTGGCCTCGTGGTAGCTGCTGGGCCTCACGGTTCTGATCCGCAGGGTGGAGGAGAGCTACGGGACATGGACAGACGTTAGACAGACCACAACCTTTTCTTATCTGTAAGCTTATATGACATATTGGCCATCGTTAGCTACGCGGAGACAGCTACAGTTGTGTAATTTTATCTATAAGGTCCTCTTATGCTTCCTTAGCTTTGCGGCCAGTATTCACACCTGGTCCTGCAGGCTACTGCTTTTTAAAAATTCCCAGGACGACTTGGACACACCTGTGTGAGTGCTTTGTTTTATGTTTTGTATATTGTTGTCCTTGGTTTTAAAGGAGACCTATTATGTTTTCCCACATTTTATGACTTATGTTACAATGTTGGATGTTCATGTTAAACATGTCTAAATTTACAACTAAATTTAGACCCTGGTCCCTTCGGTGGAAACGCAGTGAGTTCCTCCAAAAGGCTCCTAGTTCAGGGGTATAGTTCCTTTGGTAGAAACGCGGCTTTATACGTTTATAGAAGGAACCCCAGTATTTTCTAACACATACTGCAAGTACTGTATATCAGATCTGGCGCCTTTTCATGCAGTATTTTGGCGGACATGTAGTGCATCTGATCTGGTCACACAGCTGCTCCTCACTGCCACCACAACATTTGAAACAGTCGCAAACCTCAACTGTGCACTTAGGTCCGTGGAACCACACGATTGGCTTAATATGTTTCCTGGCTCGATTGGTTTTCTTGTAGGAAGGGTGGGATATGTGCATACACCCGCCATCCTTGCTGTTACAGGCTTTCCCCATAGATTTCTATTCAGGAATATTTAAGTGGCGTGCCTTTTTCCCTTAAACAGTCTCTACTACGCACTCGCAACTGTTCAACACCCGCTTGCTTGTCAACTTGACTTTGAAGAGATCCACACAGGAGAAGAGTTTGGATAGAGATTTCCTGCCTCACAGTGACGGTAGGACTAGCTGTCGTTCTGTATGAGTCTGTACCATTTAATCTGCGCATAATCTGTACCTTCATGATGACATGCCCACAGAGAACAAAACAACAGTAGGCTACAGGGTGTCAGTACACAGAGTGTGTTACCTTGCTGTGCAGGCGCATCCAGCGGCTGTAGAGAGCGTGTTTACAGAGCCTGGAGGCTCGACCCAGATCGTCTTTCCCTGTGGTGGCATTGATCACCTCTAGGCCTTGGTCTCCCACTGTCCAGTTCACACTGAAGTTGGGTGCTTTTCCAGGCTGACGAGCCTCTGCGTTACTTATTCCTGTAGAACATGGGAACACGGCAGGGTTTCAGCTCACAGTAGACGAGAAGAGAACGCCAAATCCATTTTATAAAACAGACCATTAAAAAAAAGCTACCGTCGAGAATGATATTCTGCTGAACTTGTATATCGTGCATAGATCAAATAGGACAATTTTAGATTGCGTTATGTAATTCAAAAGATTTAAAAGGACATGGAAAGGTATTTCTGAGCCGTAATCTCTTAAATGTTGAAAAATCATGTTTCAATACTTGTTCGGTGAATCATTTAATACAGTGAACTGAGGGAAAAAAAGGAAACTATTGTGAATTTCCTGACCTTCCCACAGAATTTACACAATGTTGTCTGCCTGAAATCAAACCCTCAAACTCCCCTGATATTCTATAACACCCATGAGAAGTGAACAGAGTGTACAGATGCCCTGGTATACTTGAAAATGCCCGATCTGTCAGGTGACAGATCATTTGTAAAAGTGCAGTCTGTTTCTCACCACTGAGCAGCGGTCTGTTCAAGCTGAAGGACTGCGGCAGGTCCTCGATCTCAGTAATCCTCTGATACATGGCTCTGGAGAGGTGGTCGGCGTGGTACAAGCTGCCCAGAATGATGCTGGAGAAGTAGATGGGCTCAGTGAAGTAGCTCATCAAAGAGCCTTGTAATCCAACCACATTCCACCTGAAGGGAGAAAGAACAAATGCTTTTATTCAATCAGGTGGATACCTATCCAGTTTGTCACCAAATGTACGGCTTAGGGCCAGAGACAAAGAGACAGCGGCGGTTAGAAGGAGTCTGAGCAAACATCCAAATCTACAAAAAAAAAAATCAACATTATTGTTCCAACTAATTCTCCTGAAAATACAAATCTGATTCCAGCTCAGAGGCGTCCTGAGGAGTTTGCGGCCTCCTGGAGATTCATCAAGAAGCCTAATCAAAGCTCGAGTGGCCTAATGACACCTGAGGACTGCAGCTGACAGACAGAAATGGAGTGATTGCAGCGTGGCACAGAGATAATTCAGCCTCTTTACACATGCAGATAATCATCAGGATTCCTGCTGGCCCGCTCAAAAACACCCGCCGACACCTCAAGTGCGTCTTTAGGGCTGAGTTTAATATTCTGAAAAGGAAAACCACAGTATGTATTACAGATTATAGGTAATGTTGATTCATTTACTCACGCTGTATACTCATATTTTTTCCATTACAAAGACATTTTAAAGCTAAAGCCGAGGGCAACGTTTCAGTGTAAACACACACCCCCCTTAGTGAAAACATTATGTATTCGCCCTTTTACTTTACTGGGCACTACTGGATCCCATGCCAAATTTAGGTGGCGTAAATGGCACTCTCTCTTGTAAAGTCTTTGTGTACTAACAGGAGGGCACAAGGGGGCGCTTGAGCTCCCCTTAAAATGGGCTGAGCTCCGCCTAATCACCGCCTGAATATTTCCTGTGTTACTGTATAAATAATTGTAATTGTAGTAATAATTGCATACAACCTCAACTGACTCCGTGTTTTGACTGGTTGCTCAAAACTCATAGGTCATGAGAGAAGATTAGACTTTTACGGAGAGCAGCAGTGAAACAAAGAAAGTAAGAAAATCTCATTGACATTTGTAAAAATGTAAATAACTACAAATACAGCCTTGGAACAGTATGTTGTATGTTTCACTCTATATGTTTAGATCAGGATATTTTTTTAGTGGCCTTTAACAGACACTATTTCCCACGAGCCCAAAGACCGCAGCAGGTTAAACATTGTGATTCAACAGAAGAGGTGAGTCCATGAGTAAGTCGTGGTTTAGTTCAGACACGAGTGTAATAACAGCAGGACAGAGAGGGTTGAAAGGTTTTAGACAGAAAGAGAGCGCTTTAGAAGAGAGTGTGCACTTTGCTAAAGTACTGTACTTAAGTACAAATTAGAGGTAGTTGTCCTTTACTTGAGTATTTTTTTCATGCCACTTTCTAATTCTACTTCACTACATCTCTGGCCAACCATCCACACTTCTCCGTTTTAGTTTACAAACGGAGAATTAAAACGAATACGATCTCCGTCCAGACCAGCGTTTTAGCTGCGTATCAGAGTTGATCTCCGTCTAGATTAAAACGACTGAAAACGCACTTTTATTGGCCTTTCAGGTACACTGGGCATGTGCGAGCCATTGTAAACATGAAGCAGACGGTCTATTCCGTAGTTACAGAAGATTTGGCGAAAGAATAAAGAAATGCAGACGAAGAATCAGACCAGATTTTTGTTTTTGCATGCACCAATAGCGAGCTGGGACTGTTACTGAATGTAACACGGGAGTGTGGCGGCGGAAAACAGACTGGGAGTTGTTGCAAAGTAAACAGCGACATGCACAGTACAAGTGTAGGCAGATAGGCCTAAGTGTCATTTGCACGTACACAATATTTTAATAAAAATACCAACTCAAAAACTGCTGTGCATGACTTATAAGAACCAATCAGAGAGCCGAGCGTGAGCGTCTGCGTCATCGTTTCTAAAGTCATCCGTTTTTGCCCATCTTCACTAAAACTCCCTCCGGAGTTTTGAAATGCAAAATGGGGTCGGCAGCATTTCTAAACTTCTACGTTTTAGGTCTTCGTTTTTGTCGTTTTAGTCTGGATGGGAGGTGCAAACGTAGCAAAAGGTCTCAGTAGTGTGGATGGGGCAAAATAAGATTTTCACACACAAAACATATGAAGATGTTACTACCCAACAGTTTATACAAGTACAACTTGTACATTTGCTGACTGACAGAAATTTAATTGGCAAATATTTGATAATCGTTTAAGTCATTTTTCATGTAAAAACATTTCCAGCTTCACAAATGTAAAGATTTGCTGCTTTTCCTTTTGAATATTTTATGAATTTTTTCATAATTTTGAAGTTTGGACTGACGAAAACAAGCATTGTGAAGTTGTCACTTTGGGCTCTGGTCATTTGTGACAACATTTCTCACTATTTTCAATACTTTTACAATCAATTAATGGAGAAAAATGATTAACAGATTAATTTATAATGAATTACATAATGAATAAATTTGTCTTAACAGTTATTTGTCTGTAACAGTGTGTGTGAACCATAGACTGTATAAAAAAAGGTGTGAACAGGAAGTGAATTAACACGTACCTGGCGATCTTATCGCTGCAGGACATGGTGAGCAACCTCTCACCCTGAAGAACCCCGTCCCACGTCTGAATGGTGTTACTGGAGCGCACTGGGATTGTTCCTTCACCAGACTCAATTTTAGTGCGGAGCTGCCCGCGGGCCTTTCTGTTCGGGTGTCTATCTCCCTGATCTGAGACATAAAAGCAAGGTCAGACACTTTGAAGATCTTATAGTGAACTATACATTTTCACGAAAAAAACCCCAAAAAACAATCATTAAAGTCTTAATCAGGGTCGTATTGAACAGACTTTCTTTAATTGTTCGTCCGCTCACCCTCCACTCCAGCTTCATGAGGAGAGAAGATGCGGGCGTCTCCACAGGGGGAGGTACTGATGTACAGGTGGAACTGGACGTTTTCTTTCAGTCTGAAGCCTTGTCTGTTGTCACACCTGGTAAATATGGATTTCTGCTGCTCCTCTTCGTGGTTACTGCAGACCCAGATGTGAATACATAAGACATTATACCACACAGGATGCTACGGAAAGTTTCTGATTGGTTGGCCTTTAAACTGGACATCAGAATGGCTCACCCAGTTCAAGGAAAAAAGACTTTCTTTAACTGGATGGAAGACATTTTAATTCTCCAAGTATCTGAATTGACAAGTTTAGAATTTATCTATAAAAGTTCTCCTCTCCTGATGTGTAAATGTTATTTTGATGAATGGTCGGGTCTTAACTGTTGGTCAAGACCCCTGGGCGTCGCTTGTTAACACCCAGGCTACAACTTTGGCGTTGTTGATGCACGTGTAGGGTTCCTTGGGCAAGCTGGCAACACTAATATGCAACATCTGGTTAGACTTTCTAAATAAAACGTGTGGTTAACGATGTGGAACATCATGATGCTACAGGGCTTCCTCTGCAGTTCGTTGAACTATGACGATTGACCTATGCTATGACCATTCGTCCATATGTGACGACTTGGGAGTGAGAACGTGTTGCAAGGACACAGCGTGGGTGTTTAAAGGACATGAGAAGACAAACGATTGCAGACATCAGCTCTCTGCTTTGCTGTGACTCACCTGAGGAAATGCTCCAGTTGGGAGTACAGGTACCTGATGAGCGACCGACGAGCCACAATCTCAGCATGGCAGTCATTGAGGGCCAAACCTCTATCGCTCATGTATTCACCATTGATGCACTTTGTCCCTGTGGATACGCAGATGACCTCAGCCTCCTTCACATCAGTACCTGTAAAAGAAAGTACAAAGACATAAGTCTAAAGATGGACACTGATTTGTCGTCATCGTACACTAACTGCCATACAGTGACCCAAAGATGAGTGACCTTTAAAGCTGGGGTAGGCAGTTTATTTCAGCTAATGCACATGTGCAGAAATCTTATGACTCACAACTTAAATCAACAAAATAATCCTTTTATCGTGGTTGTTCCTCAAATTTTACCATGCAGAAAACCCATTTGTCTTAAAAGATGTACAGAAAACCAAAGCATTTTGTTTTAACCTTTTCAGAAATCAAAAGGGAACAGACTATGGGAAACATTACAAGGAAAAAGCTTTATTAGTCTGTCTTTAGCGAGAGAAACAGTTTTTTGACTCTCATCGCTGAGGTTTCAACTCAAAGAGAAATTGAAGACTGACAGAATGTGTTTATCATCTCCTTATATAAGTGCAAGAAAACCTGAGGTCAGAGCTGGTTAGGCTTTGATATTTTACATAAAAACACATCACGATAACAGCTCAAGAATAAGTGCAGCTGAATCAGGCCCCTTCTGAAACAAACAAGGCTGCGACACATTTTGTGCAGAACAGGTACCGTAAACATCTTTAATCACTTGACTCTGTGTAAATGCTCAGCTGCAGTGTTCATGTATCCAATCCCCTTAGAAGAGCTTCTAAAATATTCATGGAAGTGGTTCAACTGTTTGACTAAAAAAATAATTTTTTTTACCTGTTGTCATGACGACGCCTGCCAATACTTTCCGTCGAGCATGCGGAGATGTGAAGTTTTCCGTCAGCTCGCTGAACTTGTCAACCACCAGACGAGAGACGGCATCTGCCAGCACCTGAGGTGGAGCATTGAAAAAATAATGACAGATAGATTACAAAAAGGTACAACAGCTTTAACAAAGAAACCCAGACCGAAAACGCCGGCCAGTCTCTTCTCGTCTGATTTTATGTAACACAAACACCAAAAAGTGTGATAAAAAGCAAGTGCAAGCTCTTCTTATCCACGCTGAAACTATTACTGATTATTTCAATTAGGAATGCTACACTGGTGTGAATGACAGGCAGGGATCTTAGCAGTTTAAAACTGTCGAATGCTTTGCTTCACTGACTGCTCTGCAAGTGAAGCAGAGTGACTTGGAAAGGCTGGTATAATGAACAGCAGTGTTTGAATAGCACTCAGAGGGTGATGGTAATTAAGATAGCAGCTTTGTTATCAGTGTGCAGGGATTACAGGCAGGGATTAGTTTATGTGTAAATAGATTTCCCAACGCATTGAACTTGTCTCTCCTGAAGCTGTCTCCATCTTCAGTCAGACACGGTCAGGTTGGTCATAATGATTTGTGGACGGGTCTTTAGGCGACAGAGATCTAACAAGCACGTGTTTGCAGCATGCGAGCAAACAGGCGAGACTACCTGCCTTTGACCTGCCTTTCTCTTATAATGCTGATTTTGAAATGGCTCACTTGTGCTTTTTTGTTATCACAAGCTGTAATGTTACGGGACTTTGGACTAAATTATTGTTATTGTACCTTGCTTTCAGGAAAACATAAAAACATTTCTTTCCTATTAATAAAAAAAGCTCTGCTCTTGCATGCCTGCTGTCAGCTAACGTTAGTACCGTTACATCAAAGAGAGCAAGACATGACAGTGAGACGATGGCTCAACAATATATATCCAATCTAAGCAGTACTAAGTACAGACCGATCCCCGTCTAAGCAAACTAATGGAAGCAATACTCCCATCAACAAAAGCCCCAACTACGGCTCCCACAGCCAGTTATGATGTTACAATAACTTCTAAAATTTAGCATTTTGGCTCCTAATAACATCTTTGCACGATAGCACACCAGAAAGCTCCTCACATAGAGGCGGCAACCAGCTGATACAAGATGTGGCCTGAGGGAACACAATTAGCAGCTGGTACAGCTGTAAGGCTTGGTGGAAATTAAAATCCCTTAGACCCACAAACCAACAAATCAATTCACAAGTACTACCTGTTATATAGAAGGTGGTACCATCAAATCAATTCAGGTTTATTTATATATTAGGGGTGGGAATCACCAGAGGCCCCACGATACAATATTATCACGATACTTATGTCATGATACGATATTATTATTACGATTTTAACACATATTGCAATTTCTTACCTTTTTCCAACTTCAAATTGTGTCCCCAAAGGAAAACTCTTTTTCTATTGGACTGAAAAAGCAACTGATTATATTATTATAGTACCAAAAAGTAAAGTTCTCATGTACAATTTATATAATAAAAGATCGAGACTTGACGTCCATGTATCGATACAATATTGCCACGGAAAATATCGCGATACTATGCAGTATTGATTTTTCCCCCCACCACTATTATATGTTATCTCATTGTACTTTTCATATAGCGCAGATCTCAGACCATACTCTTGTTCTTGCGACAGGGGCAAGAAAAAGCTCCTATTTAACAGGCAGAAACCTCCAGAACCAGAACCTAGACTCAGGCCCCTAAGGGTTTGGTTTAGAGAGAGAGGGGGAACCCTGCCTCTTTCCCAAAGCATGCTGATGGATGGAAAGATGGAGGCCTACTGTAGTTTCTGAGATGATAAATTCTAATAAAAACTGATTTTTTTTTTTTAATGGTGATAGTGTAGGACATGGGTCCACTTTTTCTTCTTGTAGTTTTATATGTATTATATGACTCCAGTCTGCCAGAAAGAATAAAGCGCGTGCCTGACAGAAAGAGTTCAGTGTGTTTATAGACATAGGGTGACAGAAGATCCAGGAAAAACATAAATGCCATATTAAATGGGACACAGCAATGAAAAGCCATAACTTACCAGAGGTCCAGATGAGGTACTGGGGCTTTTTGAATAAAATAATTTTGTACCATGTTCTTGATAATTTACATAAATCAAGTAATTGTAACCACACAATACTGACATTCATCAGTCCCCGTTTACTTTTCATATACTGCTACTAACTATAAACTGCTTCCATATGGCTGACACATACATAATGATCTTTGCATTGTTTATTTTTAACTTAGAGCAGAGAGACTAATTGTGAGCAGAACAAAGTTGCTGGTGCCAATTCATCAAGTAACACTCCTACAGTCTCATCATTATCATTATTTTCTTACTGTGATAATATTTTTTAATAAGTGAAAACTGTGAGGCAAACATCAAACTTTACCTTCCACCATGCTTACCTGTGGCAGGTGAAGCTGCAGCCCTTCTCTGGGTATAGGCTGTCTTGACGGATCCTGGTCCAGCTGCATGTTAAACAGAGCAGACAGAGCAGCCTGGGCAGCCCGAGCCTTGGCCAGCTTCTTGTTCCGTCCAGAACCCTGGAACTTCTGACCATCTACCGTCACCGACATAACAAAGTTCTTGGCATGGCTCTCCCCGCTCTCCGACACAAAGTCATACTTGAGGCCCGGCCGCAACTCATTGAGGATCATGACGGGATTCTTGCCGCTTGCAGGGGAGAAGAAGGTGGAGGAGGCTTGAGGTAAGGGGGCCTGGACCTGGTTTGGCAGAGGGGAGGGTAGCAACGGGTACTCTATTCCCAGTGAGCTGAAGGAACCATTACTGTTGGAGGCAAGGTAAAAGGGGTCATCTACAGGAGTGGATGTCTCAAAGGCATTAAAGAGCATGTCCGGAAAGTCAGCCTGGTCTGAGGTGAAGTCCGTGTGAACAGACAGAGTCCGGCCCATGGCCATGTGGGCTTCAGACGCGTTGGGGAACTGGACGAAAGAGCGCAGGGCCTTCTCTGCTGCGTTTAGCTTGGCCTTCTTCTTGGTTGGACCCGAACCCTCGAAGAGCTGCCCGTTGACCTCCACAGTCATCACAAAGACGGGCGCATGGACCGGCCCGGTCTGAGAGAGCAGTTTGTACTGCAGCCCGGGCTTGATCTCATTCAGCTGCATCAGGGCATTCTTAGGCAGAACCGGCCCCGGGACTTTCTTACGCTTCTTGGGCTTGTACTTGGAATGTGTGTGCCCATTATTGCCCTCCTCTAAGGGACGTTTCCTCCCACCCCCAGCACTCCCATTGGGGAGTTGAGCAGCCTCAGTTGCAACCCCCTCTTTGGAGAAGAGGTTGTCCAAGTTCCGATTTTCCTTAACATCTGTGCTGCATGAACCTGCGGTGCCCAGAAAGAGTAACTTACAATGCCTTCGTTGCAGGATCTTGTAAATGTAAAATTTAGAGATTCCTTTATCTCTCTTTGCAACCGAACAAGTGATGTGTGTTCCTTAATCAATACTTATGTGGTGACATTATAAAAATATATATATAGACAGTATATTACATTTGAACAAGTGTATTCTAAAACACAATCTGTGTACAGATTTTGATTTAAGCCACGACAGCTGACAACATTTAAAACTTCCCTGAGCAAAGTAAAGCATGACATTAGGATGAAATCACTGTATTAATGTCAAGAATTTGTTGCAGTATCACGCCAAATTTAGCAAATTACAGGACAAACTGTGTATATACAAAGAAGTCTTTCAAAGCTAAATCCTTCTTAAATTCCTTTCTCTTCTGTTTGTTGGGAACACATATCACCAGGCCCTGTTAACAAAGCCGATGGAACTTAATGTAAATTTCCATTTATAACATCCTCCAACAAAAGCTCGATAGGTTACTCCTTTCGGTGCTCAGGACAGAAACAATCCTATAAAATGCAGCTTTAGTGGGGTTGTGGGGAAAGAGTGGGGTGCAAAAAAGGGTGTCAACGTTTCCCAAAATAATTCTGTATTTTAATTGAGGCTGAAGGAAAATACCAGAGAAATGATATTAACTTTTAGCATTAGATGGCCACTTCAGACATAAAACCAGAAGCTACAGTGCATTATAATAAAAATTGGTTATTATTACAAAAACAGTAGTTCATGTTTAATATTTGTCAAAATAAACCAGCCACAGCTCAGGCACTGGAGTGTTTTAAACAAATAGACCTACAGTATTTCATTTGAGACAATAATGTGCCAACTGTAGGGACAGGTTCCCATAACCAGTTCAACGGATCTGTTGGATCTGATTCCAGGTTGGTAAAATACAGATTTGTTAAGCTCCGCTGCCAATGAATCCCGTATCAAAACCTTCATTCACAATCTCTCTTTGACAGTCTCTGGTCTCTTTTGCCTCTTTCTGACATTACAGGCAAAGACAAACATGATGTACTAAAAGTTCCAAAGTGCGGACCAAAACCAAACAACCGTGAAATGCAGTATTTGAGGGAGGGTACTCATAAAAAAAGGAGGTAACAACAGCTCCCTGTTTAAAAATGTATCTTTTGTCCATCATGTTAAAGTAAGAACCTGTGGCCTTTTTGATAACTTGAGAAGGACGAGTGCTCGGACTCATCCTACTGGCGGTGTTACACAATATTCTGTTGATATTCAGTTCATATTTGCTGAACGATAAAGTAGACGAACATTTCTCCTCTGTTGTTTTTACTCCTGCTGCTGTAGTACAACCCGCTAACACTAAGATGTCTTCATTCCCGACCAAACAAAGAACGTAGAAAGATTTGATAAGGGATTAGAAAGGGTTTGGGTTCGATTAGCAGATTCTGAAGTGGATTCAGTTTTCAGCCAACTGTCTGTTATTATAAGCCAAGTTTAGCTTTTACACTTCATATTGGACAACATAATCACTTCCTCTGTAACAAAAATGTACAGTGCTGTGGACAGAGTTGAGTTCGGCATTCAGTCACAGCCAGTTGACTACTGTAGGCAAAGTAAATAACAAGCATGCAAGAGGGGGACATGAAATATGGAAAAACACAATAGCAGATAATGCCCCGAGCAACAAGAGGAGGAGAGTGATTATAGGTCTGTTGGGGAAGAGGGAACACATTGTTATTGTTACTCCACTGAAACAGCCAGTATGAAGCTCGGCAAGCAAAAACATCCACTAGAAGCAGAAACAGAAATTCTCTTCATTAAAGTGCGGGAGAAGTAAATCTATCGGGCATGTCCTATTAGAAGGTCAATACCAAATGTGTTGCCTGGTGTCGGATACAGTTTTTTTATTTATCAAAAAGCCCTTGAACAACCTTGAGTACGTCCATCATCAGCCTTTGACCAACTCTGCCTACACTGTCAGGCATAATCCATGTTCTCCCGACTGGTTTCACTTTGGCTTACACAGAGCAGGGACAGGATTACTGCTGTCTGAACACAAATTCGTGTGTGTAAAGAAGCTCCATCAGTTAGTGTTGGGGCAAAGCATCAGCAGGCCGAATCATCGTGCAAAACTGGCTATCTAGCACGCACACGGGCTCCTTTCAGTCTACCTTGACAAACAGCTAGATTCGCTCACTCCCGAAAATGAAATGTCACCTCAGTCTGATGTTTGATCACATCACTTCTGCAAATACACAGTCAAGTTATCAAACCATGCGTCCTTTCCCTGTGAATAAACCATCAGCTTTTAGAACCAAATACAGGCACGTGAATGGTGTCAGATGAAAGGAAAGCTTTGTGTTAACTCTAAAACCTTGCCTATCATGGGTCAGGTGGTTTAAGGGCTGAAATAGACCTGCGTTCCAAATCCAGAGGTGGCTCTCAGGGGGCTTTAGGGAGCTTTTTTGTAAAGAGTAAGGGGACAAGCTTAGAAAAACGCCATCAAAATAGACTGAAATCTCCCAGTAGATACACCCTGGCCCTGGGATTAAGCTCTGATCCTGCCTCCTGAGTCCTTTTTCAAGGACAATCCTAGCGTAATACATTTTAATACTATTTAAGCTCAAGATTCAGTATTTCTTTTACCAATAAACATGCATCTCATACACAACCTGGACATTACTGGGGGTCCAGTATCATTTTCAGACATAGAATAAGTTTATACAAAATTAATCTATTTGTAGCTGAAGGGCAGTTTTGGCAAATACTTAAGAAAAGTTACATATTGATGTTTTGACTCGAAATGGAAATATTGACTCACTCATGCTTTCTACTTCGTCCCCCTCTATGGTGAGCAGCCTCTGTTGGTTTCGTAGTAGCCGAGCTCCCGCTCGACCTGAAAGAAACACACAAAGTTGACTTTCATCAAGGAAATGACAATTTACAGCAAATGGTTATGCAGTTAGATTTGCTCTTTGAAGGAATCACAGCAACGGTGTGGATTCTGCTGGGAAAGTTAATGCCACCTCATTAAACACAGTTAAAGTTGTGAAGGTGGAGGGAGCGCCAGCAAACAGCTTCAGAATTTATTACTATAGCATCAGGTTTTAATTGCCGCAATGTACATCTGCATGAATATATCTGGATGATCAAGCCAGTGATTATGCAGCATGAATGGAGCAGCTGATGCCAATCAACAAATCCAAGCGTTCATGCTTCATTTGTTTGATTGCTGTTTTTAACATAGACACCAGTATAGTCCCTTTGGGCCAAACTGGAATCCTCAATAACTAATGGATTTATTACCAGGAAAGTTTTGTAGAGAGATTCATGGTACACAGACAGTGAATCCTAATCAATAAAAAAACAACAACATAAAAATAAACTTGTAGGCTGTGAGTTATGTTTAATGCCACAGAAAATAAATTACTGCTTATGTAAATTTACTAAGGGGTCGTCTTCTTCTTCACAGCAGATTTAGCCCAGACTGTGGACAGCTAGCAAGCTAGCTAGCAGCTACAAGCCAGGCTAAATTCAACGTTACATAAACAGGGACTTTTTTATTTTCTGTGGCAGCAAACACAAAACACAGTTTTCACTAATTATTTTACTGCAACTCTACACACTTTGTGGCTGACTAAAGTAAAGCAGTTAACCCCCAGCAGGCAAAAGCACTGGAAAAAATGTGGTTATCCAGGGAAGGGCAACTGGACTTGGTTAAAAATGCTAGTGTTGTAGTACTAGAGTCTGGTCCTGGTCTTGAGACCCCTTTTTGATGGTCTCGTTCTCGTCTCAGACTCGGGATTTTATTTCAAGACCAGTCAAGAACATAACTTTGGGAATAAAAATAAATTGCTTTTGCATTGTCTGATTTATTTGTTATTTGTTATTTGCAACCAATAACTCCCCCCTTCACTAAGAAAGTGAATGTGGCTGACAGGAGAAGATGTGGGAGCAGGAGGATATGTCAGCAAAATCTTTGTAATAATATGTAGCTATTTAAACTATAAAGAATGAATCTGTCGAACTGCGTTCAGAAGAAATCACACACAATCTGTAAATTCTGCAGTGCAACCTTACGGAATATAACAAATGATTAATAAATGTTTGAGTTAATTGATTTGAATCAGAAACGAATTAGCTCTTAATTTTTCTATTAAGATATTTGTTATATTTCTTAATATTTTTTTTTTTTTATCATAATAGTTTTGAATATTCTACCTAAGATTTGTGAAGTGATCCACTGTAACAATAGTTTAAAACCACCAGTTTTAAAGAAATAATGATTAGACATTTATCGTGTTAATAATCGATATCGAATGATGTGACATTTTTTATCGTGATAACATTTTTGGCCATATCGCCCAGCTCTAGTGTTATGTCGACGGTAAACATGGAAAGAGAGCGTTGAATAAAGATGCTTAAGTTGATTTTAGCTCTTAGTGTTTGTATGTGGGTGTTTTAATAGGAATGTGGATCTTTTAGATCAATTTGAGAAGTGCTTGTAATCTCGTTCCACATTTTATTGTGTGTCATGTAATGTGGGGAACTGGTCTTGGTCTTGACTCAGTCTCGGTTTGGGTGGTCTTGACTACAACACTAGAAGATACTCAAAGACATTTCGTCCCCCAACCGAGAGACGTCTTCAGTTCTGACTGGTAGGGAAACTCTGCTATGTAAATGTCTGTGAGGTCATCTTAAAAACAACCCCAAAGAGGTTAAACATTTTACAGACTGGTCTATGTAATCAATAACATGATAACACACAAGACCACCACACCCAGTCCAAGAGATCTCACACAGTGGTGGGATTGGTCACCGATAACAATTAACTCACTTGGATTGCACGTTCTATCACTGCGCCAATCGGTCACATGATCAGCAGCACACACACCATAAAATCATTAGACTAACACAATGCCTACTTTTGGTAAGCTCAATCTGATCTATAACAGGAACAGAAAGAAGAAAATATTCAATATTTCTTTCATAGAGAGACCAATCAAAATCTTTTGCTAAAGTAGATAACTGATGTGTCTCAGGTAATAAAAGTTTCATGTGGATTAGTTTAATAGCAAAGTTACATCAAACAGTCTTTTAACCAAACCAGATTAAAACTTAATGTTTGAAAAGTTGAGAATTTCTTGCACTTTTCTGTAGCAAATGCTATCAAAGAAATCTGAAACAAGATCTGATGAAAAGACACTTCCTTTGTTGACATCTGGCTTTCATCATGCCATTATAGTCAGTGATTTCTTAGACATTTTGTTATGACAAATCTTTCATTGTCATCTTCCTGTTTGAACCAATCCATCCCCGCTCCCTCAACACCTCCTTTGCTCATATGTCACAAGTCATCACCAAGCATATTCTCCCTTTTAGCTAGCCCCCTCCACCTCCAACCGGCCCTAAGCTACTCCTGTCAGACAGAGGTACTCGTCTCTGAAGCTGATAAGAAACACTGAGCTGCCATTATTTCCTCCAGTCTAATCAGGAAACTGTCACTCAGCGTGTCATCCCTGGACATAAATAAACAAACCGCGGCCAGCAGAAATTACGTGATAATTGTTGTCGATTTACAGAGATGACAGGGGGGTTTCAACACCATTTCACTCCTCTGGTCAGAGGTGTGGTGCTGTAAGATTATGCGATAATCTAACTGTTTGAACAGCGTCAGTTTAAAGATCAACCCTGGTTTCTCCTCTTGGGTGGATGGGACAGACTGCAGCCTGACTATGCTCCAGTGATGATAACACAACATGATTTTTAAAGTGGTCATATTATGCTCATTTCAGGTTCATAAGTATATTTAGGGGTTGTACCAAAATAGGTTAAAGTGGTTTAATTTTTAAAAAACATACTGCACATTGCTGCAGCACCTCTCTGAACGCTCTGTTTTAGCTACAGAGTGAGGCATCTTATTTGTATAAAATCTTTGTTGGGGGTTGCACATGCGCAGTACCTAGGTAAGGACTACTAGCCAATCAGAAGCAGAGTAGGGCGGATCCTGACAAGCTGGTAGTGTGAACCAAAACAAAGCCCTTTCAGCCGATAACTGTGGCTTCGGTTTAGCCGTACATGTTTGAGCCCGAGGCTGATTCCAAAACACAGGCAGAGCAACCCGGACCAGCTTTGCAAACTGGTTTCAGAGTGGTGAGTTATTCATTTGTAAGAAATGTATCTTTCATACGTAAAGTTTTAACTGTGGACTGTCTCTACATCACGGTAACATCGTTATGTCTAATGACTGCGTGGAGGGTAGCTAATGGTTATTTGCCACACTAGCCGCTCAGCGAGCATTATGACTCGTGTTACAAAGTGATGCAGATAGTTTACGGAAGAAGACTACAATCGAGCTGGTTCAGGCAGTTCAGGAGCAGTGCTTTCTATGGGAGATGGTAACTCCCTTTGGGGTGGACTTTGGGCTTTTTTTTTTTACTATTACAAGCCCAAAAAATATATATAACACAACAAAAGAAAGGGAAAGGGAAAAAGACAAAGCATAACATGACTACTTTAAATTTCAGAAGGAAAACTAACCATGTTCCTTTATATAACCAAAGTGCACAGAATAATTGGCTTGAATACGGGGATTTGGAGAAAATGTCCAGTTTTTCAATTTTGATTCAAGTGGATATTTAAGTTAGTATTTAAGTAGTTGTGCGTTTCTGCCAAACAATGGCAGTGTACCATATAAGATGTGCTTTTAGAACGATCCATTAACGTGGACAAGTGGATCACACAAGGCTGAATTAAAAGGAGCAATGTTTTTACGAATAGGTCCCCATTTTCTTTGCATCTCCCTCATGGGAACATGGACCCACATAGGAGCATACATGTTCCTGTCAATGATCTTTATTCTACTAATGGGCAGTAGCAGTAATGACATCAAGACTTTTAGTCACTATTAGGAGTCAAGCTCCATAAACACTAGATCCTGTATTTCTCATATTCCAACTCCACAGTATCTCTCAGACCCTCCCAGTCTGATAAGCTCCCAGTCTTAAAACTCTACGCCATCTGTTGTAGTCTCCAAATCCAAACTGAGATTAGCCTAATGACATCACCCTGACATTATCAGGGTATTTTATTAGACTTAGAGAAGACATATAACTGTTCTCACAGCCTGAGTTATAGTAACCATGAGTGTAAACTGACTTTGACATGACTCAATGGAGTGCCCCTTTAAAGCTAGGGTATGAAACTAGCAAGGGATGATAGGCAGGTAGGTAGGCTCTCGTTTCAGGCCTGCGACAGCCACAGATACTGGACTTCTTTTTTGATTTATTGATTGCTGTGAGGATGTAAAGAGGCAAATGCTTCTGAAATATAGAACATTACCTACCCTAGCTTTAACAGGTCCCTGGAGGATATTTTAAAACCATTAACACTGCTTTCAGACTTTTCTCTTTTAGAACAACTGCAAATACATAAAACCAAATTGGTGTGAGCCAGTTTTACCAACACATGTTCACTCCCAACTCGTGACAAATGGACGCTTGGTGAAAACCCCTTGGTGTTGCTTTTTAACGCCCTGGGTACCACTTTAGCATCATTTTTCGACATGTAGGGCTCCACAGTCAAGTTACCAACAGTAAACATGCACCGTCTGGTTAGACTGTCGCAAATTGGTTTGGTTTAGGCACCGAAACTACTTGGTTAGGTTAAGGGTTAAAATAATGTTACATGACGTGATTACTTACGCAAGTTAAGTAACGTTACTTGTGTAATTTACGCAACTTATGTAACCTACGTAACTTCAATAAAAACAATCAATGTTGAGTTTTTGTTTCACACGGGAAACGAACACCGGTCTCCTGGGTGAAAGTCCAGTGTCTAGACCACCATCCACCTCCTTACTCTGACTTTTCAGTTAAATATCCAACACCTACCTTA